AAAAAATAAAAGATGCTTTTTCCTACACCCAAACTCCCCTAAAAATTTCAAAAAATACACGGAAAATACTCCGCCTGTCTTTTCGTATCACGCCCGTCTGACAAAAGAGCGTTTACGACTGTAGCCGGAGATCACGTCAAATGCGCTTCAACAGCTCGTCAGGAGTGATTGAATGTTTCACTTGTCGGCGAAGTCAATGCGCAATTCCATCAACTCAAATTTACAGAAAACGAATGCAAGCCAAAACAAACCGATCGACTTAACGCAAATTGATTACTCAGATCAGTGCATTGGCGGTGATCATCACATCGGCGTGCAGGTGGAAGTTTGCTTTTGTTGAAATTATTTTGTAAAAGTATAGTAACATCTTGCTATGCAAACGTGTTAATTGTAATGAATTTTTGAAAATTTTGGCTTGCGCTTTCCAGGGCAGCCGGGGTTTTCAACGATCTTTGCGGCCGAGAGAGCATGCGAAAGGCGGAGAGCGGTCAGGGAGAAAAACTCTTTTTAAGCCATATAAGAGTGAAGAAATAAGATCGCACCGGTCGTTCCGAAGCAAAACGTTAAAACCGCTTTCCTCGCTTTTTTTGAAAAAAAGAATGGAAAAATTGAGGTCGACATGAGAAAAAGAAGTACGAGAAAGCAAATTTAGCGTCTTTTCTGAAAATCGGTCTTATTTCTTCACTCCTATATCTTGTCCAGTTTCACGCGGAAAAAACATTGCTTTTTTGTGCGAACATTGTTACCCTCTACGGCAAAAATAGGCACGAAACTTGTCATATCAAAATTCACAAAAAAGTGTCACTTTTTCCAATTTTCGATCTAAAAATCTTGGTTGTTTCTGCAAAGCGCGTGCTTGCAGTTTCGCGTTGGTTTATGCAACAATTATTGGTTAATTTGCGCCAACTTTCATCAAGATATAAATGTCCCACTTGGAGCACTAGGCTGGCCAAGAAGTCTTGACTTTTCTGCACAGTGCAAAGTCATCAGGACTTTTTGACTTGGGTAGTAAGCTACGAAACTGTAATCTAAATTTGTCCCAATTTGTATCGAAATTTCAGCGACGAACCTTCACTTGTCCATCAAATCGAAAAAAACTCTAAAAAATCGAATCCAATAACCCACAAGGACAAAGACCGTATTTCTTTTGTCGCTTAAATTTTCCCATCCGAATCTCTTTATTCCCCCTTTATTCTCTCTTTTTCTACGCACACGCAATTTGCATTTCCGGTGGACAAGGGCACAGTGAAGAAGAGGAAAAGAAAAATGGGCGGCTTCTGTAAAAAAACAGAGGCTCCGATAGATAAAATGAATAGAAATTATGATGGAATCGAGCTGAGAATACATACTGTCAGTCTGTCGGGAAAATAATGAGCACATTGTTGCGTCGAAAATCGCATCGCTGCCGGGAAAATGAATTGTGTCGCGGCAAAATCAAGTTGCCTTTCTCTTCAGCGACGCAATCGGCGCAGCGACAGTGTGCTCGTTATTTTCCCGACAGACTGGGAAGCAAAACGCTAAAAACACTTTTCTCTATTCTTTTGAAAACACGGAATGAAAAAACGAGACCACCATGATAAAAAAACGAAAAAACAAATTTTTTATGCCATTCCCAACAAACTCGTTTTAAAAGATATTCAAATTTTTATAGGTATAAAAAGAGAGGCTTGCTTACAAAAGATTTCGACATTAATTCAATTACCTTTCCCATAACAATCCCCCGAAAACGCCTCTTGAAAAATCCCGCCCGTCTCCGCACCCAAATCGAGCGCAAACAAACTGTCCACTTTGTAATTAATCCCCGAGAATGACCGTGGGGGTATAGCTCAGTGGTAGAGCAATCGACTGCAGATCGATAGGTCCCTGGTTCAAATCCGGGTGCCCCCTAGCTGGTTTTTTTGGGTTTTTCGGATTACTGTAAAATACTAATCGGTCAGGAAAATTGCCAAATTGATTTTTTTTGCGTCCACATTGTGGGAAAAAAGACAGGGTGCCCTAGATGGCCGAAAAGAGGCGTTTGCACGGTGCAGAAAGCAAAAATTGCATAGTGCAAAGTGAATATTTGTTTTTCTCACAGTGCATGCCGCATAAAAATGTTTTTGGCGTTTGCTCCATGTGGAGGAACTCAGGGTGCGAGAGACAGCCCAAAAAACCCTTGTGCACAGTGCAAAGGGAGCTTTTGTTTTTGCACAGTGCACGGACGGACTCTCAGCCTGTCGGGAAAATAATGAGCATTCTGTCGCAGTGAAAATTGCATCGCCACCTAGAAAATGCATTGTGTCGCGGCAAAATCAAACTACTTTTTAATTCAGCGACCTATCAGCGACGGGAAAATAATAAAGGTGCTCATTATTTTCCCGACAGTCTGATAAGAAAGAAATTGAAACCAAAACAGAACTTTCCCTTCGGTTTTTGCCTTCCCTTTAGAATCTTTTTGATTCTGGCTATGAGGGAAAAAAAATGGGTAAGAAAAGTTCTAAAAAGTAAGATTTTGACGATCCAGCTGCAGAAGTTTTGGTTTTATGGCACATAAAATGGGCAGGGCATATGATCGGAAGGGAAGCGAAAGGAGTAATGGAAAAACGTCCTGATTGGCCTATTTTTTGGCCCCATTGGTGTCAGTCTGTCGGGGAAATAATGAGCGCAATGTCGGTGCGCCAATTGGGTCGCTGATGCGAAAAGCAATTTAATTTTGCCTCAACACAGTTCATTTTCTCAGCGGCGATATGATTTTCGATCCAGCAGAGTGTTCATTATTTTCCCGACAAACTTAGAAACACCTTTTTAGCCGCTTTCCGACGCCAAAAATACGCTTTTCTTCCCAAAATTTCGCAAACCCTCTCCTCGCCGCCCTTCCTCATCGCATTTACGCCAAAAGCGGCGCAAGAGTTGAGTAAGCGGATCTTTATTATGAAGACACCGTCAGTGATAACTCCAAATGTAAATGACAGCCGTCAAAAACAGTGCAGTTCATCGCAAAAAACGGGAGGAACGAAGGGAATGGGTGGGGGGGAGAGGAGACGAGCGATACCTTCAAGTCAGCGCTCCAAATACGAATTGACGTTCATCATCATTAATGTCGGTGATGTATTGTGAAACGTCCAATTCGTGTGTCGATTCGTTTTCCACTCACCGGCGGCGGAAGGAAGTGGCGACTTTGAGGTTGGAAGGAGATGGGAATGGAATTGGAATATTCGACAATTTCGTCTATGACGTCATCAAGGAAGCGTCGGAAAAATCTCGTTTTGTCATGAGATCGATGGCAGAGGCATGGTGGCCTGCCAAGTGGATTTACGAATCAACCGAACCAGTGAAAAGTCAATCCGCTTCGGATTTTTACTATGAAAATGAATGAAAAGTGAATCAAATTAAATTATTTTCTGGTTATGTTTTTAAAGTGCCCCATAAAAGAGACATACAAAATTTAAAGGTCCTTAGACCAGCTGCAACCAGCATTCTGTGCAAAAAGAAAATCTTGTCGACCAGTAAACCACAGCCGTTTGAATGAACCAAGAAGAGGAGGGCCTCAAATACGACGCACGTCAAACTGAGGAGTCCGGTGACCGGAATAGACCGTTCGATATCGGTTTTTTACACTTCGTCGTGATTTCGCAGAGAAAGAGAGAAAAAAGACACGCAAAAGCGTACTCTCTCGCCCCAAAAATTCCCCATTTCTTCCTCGACAAAACGTTTTTTCGCGTCTTTTTTTGGCAAATTGCCAATCCATTCACTGGAATGTTTTAGCTTATCTCAGTTTGACGTGCGACGCTCAGATTTTCCTTAAAATTTGCTTACTTTTCCGATGTAGGCCACATATTGCAAGTGCAGCCGAGGAATTCAACGTTTTTTACAACCGACAGAGTACATGGACTACGCAGAGCGGTAAGTAAGAAAAAAACTTTTTGGCAATAAATTTGGTAACTTCGTCCGGAAAAAAAAATGATTTTTTGCGGAAACATTGCGTTCTACGCGAAAAATAGGCATAATTACCGACTTGAAAAAGTGCAATATAAACTGTCAAAAACATAATTGCGTATTGATTGCACTTTTCCAACCTAAAATTCTGTCCTTTTCGGAAGCCAGAAATTTTTTCCAACATGTTTTCCTCCGCGTTTGTTTACATTTCATAAACGGGGAAAGCTTATCATTAAACCCCTGACCAAATGACCAGATAAGAATCGAGACTTTTTTTCGGAGAGTCCATAACGTTTCCAATAAACAAGGTGCAGTAATTTATTTTTCTTTGATTTTTCGTCTCCGGGTTTGGTCTTTTTTTTGGGAAGAGTGAATAACTTGAATTTTATTTTGTAAGGACGTTATCTTCTTGTTGTTTTGTCTATATTCATAATGGAAGTATGGTTGAGGGAGATCACATCCCGGCCCACGGCAACCCAGGGAGTCTCCCGCCTCTTTTCGGCACTTCGCCAACCCAGTATCGGTTGTAGTCAAACGAAATGTCTAAAATGAATTTTTCGTGGTTGCGACACTTTGTTTGGACTAAACTCAAAAGTGGGCGGGAGACATTTTTGTGCTATTTTTGGGTGCCGTGCGTCCCTCACATCTTCGTCAACTATCAGCCTGGCGGGAAAATAGTGGACGGCCTTGGAACGCCCATCATCGCTTTGAATAATGCTTCTTTGTACTATAAATGTATCGGTGGACACTTCTGGAATCCTCCTCGGGCCCCAAACAAAAATCTACCCCCAACCGTTGAAAATGCGTAGACTTTTTGTGGCGAAATATTTTCGCACTGCCCATTTCATTTTTGCACTGTGAAATTCACTTTTGCACTTTGCAATAATCGCCTAGCTGTCGCAAGGTGATTATTGGCGATTCCAAGGCGCGAAGGGTCACATTATTTTCCCGACAGATGAGGTACAATTTTAAAAAAATTTCCTTCATTTCGCGTTTTTAATAATACAGATTTTCTTTCGCTAGAAAGCTCAATCCGATTCCAGGGCCATATCTTTGCAGGACCCTTTAAAAACGGCTTTTTCAGGATGCGTTGGATCTTCTTGATCTTTGCTTCAGCTTGTAATGCTCTTTTATATCCACAGGTAAGTTAAAAATAGATTTGTAATATGCTACACTACTTATTGAATTATAATAACAAACTTTCTTGTAATAAAAACAACTCCAACAACCCACGCAATTTTTGTTTAGAAAGGATAGACCCAGACGGCTTACAAATCAATTTTTGCACCCAAAAGACATTTGCTTTTTACTCTACTCGCTCATTTTTATTCCTTTACATTGTTTCAGCAAAATGAAGTTCGATCGCTCGAATCGCTGGACGGTCTTTGGACCTTTGTCCGTGAGCCGCTGTTCGCCGCCGATCTAGGCTTGAAGAACCGATGGTTCGAGGAGGACTTGGACACCTTCGAAAACGCCACTCGGATGCCGGTGCCGTCGGCATTCAACGAGCTCTCAGCCGAGCACGACGAGCGAACCCATGTGGGTTGGGTGTGGTATCAGAGGAAGTATTCAACACCGTGGGCCGTGAGCGGGAAACGGTTGATCTTGCGGTTTGGGAGTGTGAATTACAACGCATTTGTGGTAAGCTGCATGACTTCAGATATTGGAGAGTTTGTAAAAAGCCGCTAGAGTGATTCTTGCGACGTGCACTGTTAAAATATAGGCGATAAACTTCTGATAAATCATAAAATTTCCATTAATCCAGTCTTTTCCTATAGTGGTCGACAAAATTTTCTTTCCGGCTGGTTCTTGAGAACCGCTAGGCCTAGAAGCTTGAAATTCGGCGTATATAAACATTATAGGACAATCTAACCCCATACCTAAAAAATCCCCATTTTTTTGCACTTTTAATGCACTTTTTTGCAAAAAAAACCAAAAACAAGACGGCAGAATTTTCTTTCCACTCTGTCGCTGGCCCGAAAACTCGCAGCATAATTTACGATTTTTTCAGTACATCAATGGCAATTTGTCAACAGTCCATACAGGAGGGCACTTGCCTTTCGAGCTAGAGCTTCCAATAACCAGTAAAGGTTATAAAATCACGGTCGCCGTCAACAACACATTGCATGCAGGGACAATTCCTCCGGGCGATTACGAGCTTCGGCATTATGGGAACAGCACTTATGTCTATCAAAAGCCTGGCTTCGATTTCTTCAATTATGCGGGCATATTGAGGCCAGTGGTTGTCCAGGTTCTGAATCATGTCTACTTGTCAAAGCTGAAGATTTGGACGGTGAAGCCGAGTAAGTCGATGTGACTACGTGTATATTAATCTGTCGGGAAAATAATGAGCACTCCGTTGCATCAGCTATGCGATCGGAGCTGTGACTTTGTGTCCATTATTTTCGCACAACCTACACTGGCGGACCTGACCCACTGTCCAAAAACGTACCATTTTGCATCCGGGAAGTATCAAAAATGCAGCAAATGTCTCCCTCTCCAAGTGAAAAAACTCCGATTTCAAAGCGCGCCCACTCTTTTTGTGGGGGAAGGCTGTACATAACACACCTATTTATATAAAATTTACGACATGTTGAAGCCGAGGCACATAATTTTTCGTCCGTAATATGAAAACTTACGTGAACTTTCAGACATCCTTAAATACATTTTGGACATTGACAACCCCAAAAACATTCGGGTTCAAGTCTCCGTCTCGTTGATTGACCCGGCCGGGAACCTAGTCGAGACCGTCTTGTGGCCAAAAGAATTCAAGCCAGTTGAACATGTCCAACTTTGGTGGCCTAGAGGCTATGGAAAAGCCAATTTGTACAAGTTGAAAGTAAGAAGTCAGTCTGTCGGGAAAATGATGAGCAATGTCGCTAAGCAGATCGCTGAAGTGAAAAAATTTGATGTTTCCTTGGCTCAATTTGTTTTCTCGGCAGCAATGCGATTTTCGATGCGACAGAGTGCTCATTATTTTCCCGACAAACCGTATAGCGCCATTTTCTGGCGATTCAAAGGCTTCACGATAAGCTGTGAATTTTATTTCAGATTGTAATATCCGTTGAAGTCGTAAAACTCGACTTGTATACGGAGAGCTTCGGATTTCGGTTTGTTGAGTTCAATGGAACACAGCTGTATGTAAACGACAAGAAATTCTACTGCATGGGCTTTGGGATGCATGAGGATTTTGATGTAAGTGGAAAGAACGGCTTAGTGTATTGCTACAGCGAGGAGCGTGATCCAGTGGCAAAAAACGTACCATTTTGCATCCGGAAAGTCTCAAGAAATGTAGCAAAATGCCGACCTCTCCATTTAAAAAACACCGTTTTGAAGTTATTTCCCTCACAAAAAGAGCGGGGCCCAGTTTAGTATCGACCTTCAAATCCTTCCTTTAGTGCAACATTTGAATAAAACCCGAATTTTGCTCATTTATGGGAAATTTTCCATTCTGAGGGAGGTCGGTTGACCGCTCTTTCAGAGATCTCAAAAATCTAAATTTTGGGTGAAAAAGAGTTGCGAAGTTATGAAACAATTCATAAATGGCACAATAACCGTAATAAATGTGAAAAATACGAGATGCTTGATATTTAACACAATCGCTTTCATTCAGATTACCTCTCTTTACAATTCAAACTTACATAAACTTCATTTATCATAGGTCGCCTTAAAAAATGCGTTGGTTTTGCAAATAAAAAGTGTCTAATATGCCTGTATCCTGTCAATCACGAAAATGTAATCTCAACCAGAGCAAAAAACCCACTAAGAAGTTGTGATACCCTCTTTTTCGTCGAATATTATAGTTCATTCATTGAAAATGTCACGGAACCCCCAGGAGATGTTGTTCATGACCTCAGGTATACTTAACATTTGTTTTTTATTCGTATTTACAATTTTTTCTGAAGATCGAAAAAACTTCAGAGCTCTCAGAGAGCAGTCAACCGCCCTCACCCAGAATGAAAATTTCCCATAAATGAGCAAAATTCGGGTTTTATTCAAATGTTGCACTAAAGGAAGGATTTGAAGGTCGATACTAAACTGGGCCCGGGCGGGCTTTTGAAATCGGAGTTTTTTCACTTGGAGAGGGAGGTATTTTGCTACATTTTTTGAGACTTCCCGGATGCAAAATGGTACGTTTTTTGCCATCCCTCACTGTATTAGTCATAAAGTCCGTGGACATTTTCCCTCTTTTGCACAGTGTCAAGCGCTATTTTCAGCTACACGGGCGCGGCTACAATCCCGTAGTCCTCATCCGAGACCTGAACATGTTCGAATGGATGAACGGGAACTGCTATCGCACCTCCCACTACCCGTACAGCGAAGAGCGAGCCTACGAAGCGGATCGCCGAGGAATCATGGTTGTCACCGAGGCCCCCGCAGTTGGTCTTGGCTACTTCACCGCCACCATGAACATGCTCCACAAGCGAATCATGTCCGAGATGATTCAACGCGACTTCAACCATCCTTCGGTCTTTGCGTGGTCGTTGGCCAACGAACCGTGGACGGAGAAATTCAATGCCAGGGATTACTTCAGGTCGCTCGCGATTTACGCGAAAAAACTGGATCGCACCCGGCCGCTGACGATCGTGTTTGGGCCAACTTATCCCGGCCGCGACCACAGTCGTGTCACCGACTTTATTGATTTCATCGGGCTGAATCACTATGACGGGTGGTATCAGAATCTGGACCATCCGGAGGTCGTCGAGGAGCAAATGTACGAGCTGGTTGTGGGATGGAACAGAAACTTCACGGGGAAACCTCTAATTATAATGGAATACGGGGGCGAAGGGATCCCAGGAATGTACCAGCAACCGGGCTCTCCATTTACAGAGCAGTACCAAACGGAGCTGATCAAAGCCAATCACAAAGCCTTCGATCGACTGAGAGAAGAAGAACGGATAACTGGAGAAATGATCTGGAACTTTGCCGACTTTATGACAGCTGCAGGTAGTGTACAGCATGCGGTTTCTGTATGTATTATTAGTCACTTTTTTGCACTATACAAACGTGACATATCATTCCATAGACATTACAAACCGCCAAATAATTCGCGGATATTTTTAGACATCACTCGACCTCTTGGAAATCACAAAGGAGTCCTGACCCGACAGCGACAACCGAAGGCGGCGGCTTATATTCTACAGAAGCGCTATGGTAGTATTGACGTCAAAGATGAATTGTAAATTTGTCGGAAATGTGTAGAAATGCCAGAACAGTTACATAGGCCTTATCATAATTTCACTTTATTGTTGTTTATTGTTCCTGTTTGGGCTTTATTATTATTATCTATTAAATTCGGCAGAGTGCGAAACGAGAACGCGCTGCGCAGGCACACGACATTTGTTTTCGAATGCTAGCAGCGCCATAAAGTCCGTAGATTTTTTTCGACGACGTCGCTGGTGCAATCGCCTAAAAGTTCATGTGGCTAGTGCAAAAACGGGAAGTCGCAGCGGCTCGGGCGAAAAAACGCACTGTGCAAATTCTACGGACTTTATGTCGCGACTAGTGTCAGTCGGCCGGGAAAATAACGGCGGATGGTCGCAGCAAAATGTCTCGCCTCGCCGCTATCGCGCACCAAATCCCAAGCCGCGGCTTGAAGTCGTAAAGCGATGATGGGCGATTCCGAGGCGCGACGATCCGCCGTTATTTTCCCGACAGACTGATACTGATGTGGTAAGGGCTACCAGGCTGTGCCGAGGAAATAATGAGCACAAGATCGCTGCGCCAATCGTGTCGCTGAACTGAAAAAAATGATTTTGCCGCGACATGATTTTCTCGGCGGAGATGCGATTATCGATGATGGCGCCGATTACTTTCCCGACACGCTGATAAAATAGTGAACACTTTTATTTCAGATATAATATATACAAATATATTTATTCATCAACCTCATCCCCGTCAGTGACGTTGTCGGGCAGGTCGGTGTTTTCCAAGGACCAGTCTGTAACTGCATTCTCTTCCGTTGCATCTGTAATATCGGTGATGGACTCCTCGGTAACTGGGGGTTTAGTGTGGTCGTTGTCTCGACAGAGTCCGCAAGACTTTTTGCAAGAGTTTCGGATAAAATCCGACATGCACATGTTGTTGCGTTGATAGAGGTCGCAACTGAAAATTGGTTGGGAAATCAGTAATTTTTAATGTACTAACAGGGGAAGAACTCCAAGTGCGACGCTCAGATTTTGATGAAACTTGGCACAAATTTAGAATAATTTTTTCTAAGATATATGCGAGAATTCTAGCTCGCGCTTTGCAGAAGCAACCGAGATTTTTAGATTAAAAATTTTGGACTTTGCCGAATTTCATGTTTCATGCCAATTTCAACAGTAAAGGATAATTTTTCTGCAAAAAAATCAAAATTTTCCGCTCAAAACTGCGAAAGTTATGGCCAAAAAGATGTCTTCTCTCTGACCGCTCTCCACGTTTAGCGCGCTCTCTCGGCGGCCAAAATCGTTCGATATCTCGGCGGCGCCGGGAAAGCGCGGGCTAAAACTTTCAGGAATTGATATTTAGTCCATCTCCCCGATGTGTGTCCAAAATTTAAAGAAAATCTGAGCGTCGCAGTTGGAGTACTTCCCCTCTAAGTATAATAAGACCTAAAACTTACTTGGTATTGTAATCCTTGCATTCGGTCTCTTGGCAAAATCCACAGGTTTGTTGGCACATTCTCCGCATTGTCGACTGCAGGAACTGGTTTTGACATTGATGCTTCATAAACGTGCATGGGATTCGGTCTCTGCATTCGGGGTTTTGAGCGGAAATGCATTGCAAGACGATGACCAAAACCATAGCGACAAGCATTACTGTTTGATTGCGTGGGCTGTAATGTGAACGGACTAGTATAAGTAGGAAATTCTTTCTCGAAATCAATTTTGCATTAAAATTCTGTCGAAATTCGGCCTTTATATCCATTGAAATCTTCGCTGACTAAACGTTTGAGCAACTGTCGGCCGTTCGTGAGTTCATTCACGCCCAAGTCCAAAGGGCGGACGGGATTACGACCCAGTTGATTCATTGTGCAAATAACCACCAATTAGATTGAGATGTGTTATCCGCACACATCAGATACGTTTTCGGCTTGATGACATATTGCCTTACCCTTTAAATGCCAAAATTTAAGGAGATAAAACCTGTCATTTTTTTTTGCAAAATTTCGCTCAAAAAATCTCGGTCGTACCTGAGTTTCTGTTGTCGGAGTCTTGCATATTTATGTTAGGAAAGACGGAACTTTATGACTTGTGACGATCTTTAAGCCCAACAATTGTTTGCCTTTTTATGATTAAAAAAATGCAAATCAAATTGACTATGCGAATCTCTTCGCTGTTCGATTTTGTCGCGACCTAATTCATTTCCTACGCGGCGATGCGATTTTCAATGCAACATTGCGCACATTATTTTCCCGACAGACTGATAAATACATAAGGCGATCACTACTGTTTTCTCTTTTTTCCCCCCGCGATTCATCGCCATGGCAGAATTCATGGCAACGTTTGTCTCATCCTAACAATGTAAGCCACATTTGAAAAGCCGATTTGAAGCCGATGTGTTTACAGAAAAACTTCGAAGTTGGTTATTAAACTTGACTGACTGCTTTTATTTAAAAAGTTTGCTAAAACAAACATGTTTATGAATCCTCTTTGCGACCGTCTTCACTTTAGCCAAGGTTATGCCAAGAATTTCCATTATCGTCATTTTCATTGGAGTCTCCGTTGTCATTATTGTCATCCTCGTTTGACCCGTCATTGTTGTTATTGTCATCCTCGTTGGACTCGTCGTTGTTGTCGTTGTCATTGTCGTTATCGTCATTGTCTTCACATTTCCCGCAAGTTCTTTTGCACGAGTTTTCGACAAACTGGCACATACCACGCTGCTGGTAAAACTCGCAGCTGAAAGAACGATTTTATCAGTCTGGCCATTTGGCGATTTTTTCTCGTCGCGCGCATTTTTTGCGACGCATCGCTCAAACTTTCGGTGCCGCTCATTTTCGAGGTTGCGATTCCAATGCCGCGACGAGGGTAATTCTTTTTCGGCCAGACATAGTATTAGTCGGGTCAAAAAGTCTTTATACCATGGCTGATGCCCTCATGAAACGGCGATCCAAACTTCGAAACTCACTTGGACTTGTAATCTTTGCAGTCGGTCTCCTGGCAGAAACCGCAGGTCTGTTTGCAGATCATCTGCATCGTCTGTCGCAGTCGTTCGTTCTGGCATTGGTGCTCCAGTCTAGTGCACGAGACGCGGTCTCTGCATTCGTCCTGAGCAAAAACTCGTCGGCAAGCCATGACGAAGACAATCATGGCCAGTATATTCATCAGAGAAGAAGTCATTTTACCTCCCAACCAAATTCTATGCCGTTATGGCATTGAGGTGCGAGTTTTATACGTCTTGCAAAAGTTGTAGGGGTTTGTTTGATCAGTTGGTGGTCAGGTATTTGGAGCCTTCGTTAATTACGGGGAAAGGGGGCGTAACGGAAACATTCATTTTCTCAACGGAAAGATAAACTCCTACTGAAGGCCAAATTATTATGTCACTACTTATCTGGACGTTGCAAAACACTGTTGACGAATTCACTTAAAAGAGAGTTTTTTACAGCTCGAAGGATGGCCCGGACATTTCGAAAAAACGACCGACCCAGAATCTTTTGATATTTTGCATAGTTGTTGTACCATGATAGCTAAACGTATGCACGAATTTTTAGTTTCAGAAATTACCGTATACGGGGGTTACGGTAGGTACAATTTTTAGAAAGATTGGGTTCGTATGTAAAAACCTTATGGAGTAAAGGCACAAAACCTCGCCGTTTTACGTTTTTAACCATGAGGAACATTTTCATAATTAACAACTTTGCCGTAGGATGTTGCCTTCCACTACTTTGAAAAATACCAAGGTACAGTATTGAATGTAACTTTTTGGCAGAGAACTTGTCTCAACTTTTGAAACCTCTTAAAAACACTTTGACATGTATGTAACAACATATCAAAAATGCGCGAAAATAAAAGGGGGGGGGTTTGGAGTTACGGTACTTTGAATGTTGCCGGTACGGTATATCAAAAAATAATTTTTTTCAAAATCGGCGTAGAAGACCCGCAAAAATTGCCAAATTGCGTTTTCGACCATGGCGAACATTTTTGTAATTGACACTTTTTTTGTAGGGTGTAGTATTCGCCTACTTCGAAAATTGGCAAGGTAGCATGTGTAATGTAACTCTTCGGCATTCTACTTGTCTCAACTTTTGAAACCTCTCAAAAATACGTTGACATGTACGGAACAACATATCAAAAATTTAGAAAAATAAAAAGGGGGGGGGGTTTTGGAGTTATGGTACTTTGAATGTTGCCGGTACGGTATATCAAAATTTCATTTTTTCTAAAATTGGAGTAGGACAACTGCAAACCTTGCCAATATACGTTTTCAACCATGCAGAACATTTTTGTAATTGACAGTTTTGTTCTAGGATGCAGCCTTCGACCGGTTTGAGAAATGTCAAGATACCATGTTCAATATAACTTTTCGGCATTCTACTTGTCTCAATTTTTGAAACCTTTCAAAAACACCTTGACATGTGGGTAACAACATATCAAAAATTTAGGAAAATAAAAGGGGGGGGGGTTTGGAGTTATAGCACTTTGTATGTTGGACATACAGTACACCGAACTTTTTCTGTGATGCTGACATCCGATTTTGAAAAATTCCACCGTCGTATGGCACACACGTCTCTAAGCCGTGTCAATTGTTACAAAAAAATTAAGAAATCACTGATCTTGCTGTTACAGTAACCAGTCATCTGCGCACGATATGTTACAGTATGCTTAGGTCTAGTTTTTTTGAATTTTTTTGTGAAAATAGTTTGTGAGGGTCGTACAACAAAAAAACATTACATTTTGTTTTTAAAATAATCTACGTAAAGTTAAGCCGAGAATAAATCGAGGTGTACTGTAGGTCCAACATACAAAGTACCATAACTCCAAAACCCCCCCCCCTTTTATTTTTCTAAATTTTTGATATGTTGTTCCGTACATGTCAACGTATTTTTGAGAGGTTTCAAAAGTTGAGACAAGTAGAATGCCGAAGAGTTACATTACACATGGTACCTTGCCAATTTTCGAAGTAGGCGAATACTACACCCTACAAAAAAAGAGTCAATTACAAAAATGTTCGCCATGGTCGAAAACGTATTTTAGCAATTTTTGCGGGTCTTCTACACCGATTTTGAAAAAAAATTATTTTTTGATATACCGTACCGGCAACATTCAAAGTACCGTAACTCCAAAACGCCCCCTTTTATTTTCGCGCATTTTTGATATGTTGTTACATACATGTCAACGTGTTTCTAAGAGGTTTCAAAAGTTGAGACAAGTTCTCTGCAAAAAAGTTACATTCAATACGGTACCTTGGTATTTTTCAAAGTAGTGGAAGGCAACATCCTACGGCAAAGTTGTCAATTATGAAAATGTTCCCCAGGGTCGAAAACGTAAACCAGCAAAGTTTCGCCCCTTTACTCTTCGTGATTTTTACAAACGAACCCAATCATTCGAAAAATTGTACCTACCGTAACCCCCGTATACGGTAATTTCTGAAACTAAAAATTCGTGCTGACGTTCAGCTATCATAGTACAACAACTATGCAAAATATCAAAAGATTCTGAGTCGGTCGTTTTTTCGAAATGTCCGGCCCTTGTTATGAGAAGCTTCAATCTGTAAAAAACTCTCTTTTAATTCAACAAATCATAACGTTTTGTTTCGTAAACTCAATTTATTTTCAAGCTTTCACCACTCTCAATAATCAATCTCTCTTGCCGGCGCAAATCCCACTCGTTTCCCTTTGAAGTCATGCACTTGACAATACTGCCGAATAAACGGATCGCCCAATGTCCATTTGTCATCATTGCTTGCCGAAATCATAACTTGGCAATTGGAGTTCAACGGGTGTAAGATTTGATTCGACGGGATGTGGAACTCTTTTCCGGCAATTTTAAAATGCAATGTAAACTCGGCACTGCAGAATGAGAGATAGGCTGACTTGTACGGTGTGGCTTTGATCTTCTTCATGATTTTCTCGAAATCGGCGCGGGGTGCGGAGATGACAGTGGATCCGGTGTCAGTCATAGCTAGCCCGGGGGTTAAAGGCTCATCGTCAACTGAAATTGGGGAGTGGAAAAAATGTGAGCAAGGTATGGGCTATTACAGGGTGGCCAGAAAAAACGGAAATAGGGGTCCAAAATCGAGGTCCCTCTATTTGACATTCAAAAAAGCCACGTTAAATAATCGATATGGACATGAAAGTCACAGGATTAGGGCAGAAGAACACGGAGAATTTGATGGTAAAAGAATCATTTGGCTACACCTAAACATTTTTGCGCCAGGACCCATGAAAAAAGTTTTCGTTTTTTATGGCCCTATGGTATACAGTGAAGCCTCTGTGCAACAAATCGCAAAGAAAAAATAAATTTTCTTGCTATAGAAAACATTCGTTGTAAAGGTTCATTTTGGCGTAAAATCGAGTCTTCAGACTAGAGTACTCGTTCGTTTTAGACAGTTTCGACGTTATAGACCATTTGTACTTCATTGTACAAAGTCTCCACTGTGTTACGGCTTCATTTGAAATCAACACCAACTCCTGGCAGCTTCGATTTGAAAGTTCCAATGGAAAGTCGTTGGAACCACCTTTGCCCATGCTTTTACATTGCAACAATTCTCTCGGTCGTATCCTCCGAATGTAATCTTCCCAGCGTCGGCACAAGTGCCTCCACATTTCTTCATATAAACCGTGAACATTGGCGCATCCAATATCCCTTCTTTTGCCGCTTGTGCAAAAATATTCATATGTTCTTGGCCTTCTTTTGGAAAGGAAAGGCCCAAGACACCATCGTCATCATAGGTAAGCTCCTCGCCCGCGCCAAACATGACCTTGTGCTTGAGACGGAGGGTTTGGTCGTTCTTTCCGCCGAACTGAAAATTCTGTATATAAAATACATCACCCCTAATTTACAGGCATAATGAAAAGCAAGTGGCTAAACTCTGCACAATGAATTTCCAAAAAAAATTTGTTATAATGGTGTTATCAGCTACCAGTTTGTCGGGAAAATAATGAGCACAATGTCGCTGCGCCTATTGCGTGTAGTGAAAAACAGTTTGATTTTGGCAGCGACACAATCTATTTTCTCGGCGGCAATGCGATTTTCGATGCGACAGAGTGCTCATTATTTTCCCGACAGACTGCTAAAAACCCGTGCCAAGCTTCATATTGGTCTAAAATCAGATCCTAGGACTATTAAAATTTCGGTTGCCCACTACAGTGACTAACCCGATCCAGTGATAAAAAACGTACCATTTTACTTCCGGGAAGTATCAAAAAATGTAGCAAAATACCTCACTCGCCAACCAAAAAGCTCCGATTTCAAAAGCGCACCCGCTATGCGAACGAGCTTTTTAGTTGGAAAGGCAGGCATTTTGCTACATTTTTGATACTTCCTGGATGCAAAAGGGTACGTTTTTTGCCACTGGATCAGGTCCGCCACTGTATACTAAAAACCTCACCGCAAAATAATCCTTGTAGTGCACTCCTTTCGCTGATCCAGTACTATATTGAATAATGAACTGTTCTTTCGAAGACTTGGAAGTTGATGACGCACTTGGATCGTAGGTCTCGCTGTTGGATCTGCATTTCCAAACCAGCGGTCCACTGGATCGGCATCCTTTCTTGGGCACCCACATAATCGAGGAGCCCGTGTCAAAAATCACATTAGTCTCTTGAGGCGGTGAGCCAAGCGAGACCCGACCAAAGTATGTAATATCATTTCGGGTGTTCAGCTGCTCACCGTATACATCATACAGCACACTCGTGACATTGCCTGAAAATGTTTGAAAGCAGCTTTCTTTAGACGTGTAGAGCTTACGTTGCCTTCTATTTACAGTTACACCGAATGATGCCGCGTTTGCGACATTTTCTAGTGTATTCCATAAGAAAGTTACAAGCAGGATTGCTTGGTAAAGAGGCATATTTGGGTGAACTGAAGATCACCCGGGCCCAATTCGAACGTTTCAACACGTTCAAATTGGGCCCATGTGAAGCCAAAGAAATGTTTGCTCAGTGGACACATAAAACCAGTAAGCTCAACTGGAGTTTATAATGATTTCTTGGTCTCTTATTTTTAGCAACACAATGTAATGGGACTTTTCTGAGTCCTTTTAGTAGTCTCATCTCTTCCTCATTCTAGGTATTGGAATATAAAATATTTATTGAGGAGACTCCTCAGAGCGCGCGTCCGCACCCTGGGCCTACAATAAGCTCGATATGATTGAACGCGGGCTTTGGCTGGCTTTACCCCTCTGCTTGGGTAACGCGCGCCAAAAGCTCCCGCGACATCCTCCCCACCAAGGAAAACGATGACCGCATCGTTGAAAGTTAACAATTTGAATTCTAAAAGACAGATACAACAAGAGGGGATCAGTGCAAGGGCCTATGTACATACAACTTGTTTAAATCTATCGAGGCCTTTCTCACAGAATGTGATCAAGTTCTCCCGACTTTCCTTACCCGTGTACGAGCTCAGCAGAAGCACATTGAAGGGACTCTGAGGAGCTGGGACTCCAGTGGGTATGAACAGACCCATCTTGACCAGGTTGGCTGCTCCATCCTATTGGTAAACAAGTTGTTGATTTCGCAATGTTTTTTCAAACGTTTGATTTGGTAAAAGGACGCCTCTTGAACAGAATGCCAAATAATTATTTTCGTGCCGTGACGCGAAATTGCTGTGGGCAAGACACATTTATCCATTGAATTTTTATTTTCTTATTGGTAAAAACTTGGTCAAAAAGGGATTTTCATGGTGTTGCGAGAAAAGCTTTGAGGAATTTTTCACCCTTTCAAACCAAAATTAGGCAACAAATTTTTACATATTCTGAATCAGAAAAATTTTGCGAATTTTTGGATATATAACTCCACCTGTTTTAGGATTTTCTATGATCTGGGCGGAAACGTGGATTTGGCTTAGTTCATCCAAGCGGGTAGGAAGTAGGCGAAAATCATGGTTTTGGCCTAGTTCGATTTAATCAACTAGGCCAAAACCCAAAATCTCGGTTTGGCCTACATCTTCACCGACTGCATGAACTAGGCCAAAATCTCGGTTTTGGCCTACATCTTCACCGACTTCACCGACTGCATGAACTAGGCCAAAATCTCGGTTTTAGCCTACTTCCATTTCTTCATCTTTCCAATTTCTGAGATCACAAACTTCGCCGTCGCAAAGTGATGATGGGCGATTCCGAGGCGCGACGATCCGCCGTTGCTTTCCCGACAGACTGACGTATGAAAAAAAAAACACCTATGCAAAAAAAAAAAAAATTTCGCCCACATGAAAAAAAACCACCTATGCCAAAAAAAAAATTATTTTTTTTGCCCACATGAAAAAAAACCACCTATGCCAAAAAAAATTATTTTTTTTTGCCTAGATTAAAAAAAAACAAAAATTTCATGTAGGCTAAAAATGAAGTAAGTTTGAAACTTTTTGGAATAATATAACGCACCCTTCTTAAGTGCCCTTTTCCGACAGTAAAATTTCCCGATTTCTTCTTTACAACGTCCGCTAGTATGTCTCACACAACACCACATGGCGATTAATACCTAATCTGGGCACAAAAAGAGAAATCTTACATTTTCAGGAGGCACGTCGATAGATGGAAGATCAATGTTTGGGTCACAGCGCGATGGGCCGGGCTCCATGGACTCATCCATTATATTCAACACTTGAAACTGAAAACAACGTAATTTTAAAGATAATATAAATCCCCAAATTATTCCAAATCGCAGAGTTACAATACTATCTAACACAATATTCACTCGTTCAAAAAATCAAGAAATATTGGGCGCAGCTCGAAATCTCTATTTCCATTTTTGCATCGGCTTCAAAGTTTAGACGAAAATCGAAGGATAGGGATCCCGGAAAAGGAGCTATAAAAAGTGTGAAGCAGTGGCCGAGTGGTCAGTGCGCTCGCTTTTTGCGCAAAAGGTTGCAGGTTCGAGTCTTTCCAAGCTCAAATCATTATTATCGTTTTTTACTTCTGCTTTATTCGTGCTAATCCGGCTGTACATTTAAAAAAGTGGTATAGAGAAAAAAGTTAACATAATGGAAAGTTGTTTTTGAATACATCAGGTTGATGTTGTTCTCTGCGCTCTAAAACTGTAAAGGGAAGGTGCAAAGCCGTTGAAAATGGAAAGGTTCCGTTTAAAATATACTTCTTCCATCCATAATCGAGTTCAAGGGGAAAAATTTACACATAAAGTCCATTCCCTTGTTAGTTAGTCGGAAGATTATGGTATTGCTTAAGAAATGTGATCTTGAAATGTAATGGTTGTGTTACGGCAATCCAATGTGTATGGTCAGCAACAGCAAAATGCTCCATTCGTAATTTTTTCTCTCTGATAAGCATGGCTGATCAAACATGCCCCAGCAACACTTGAACAAAGAACGGGCCAACCCCTTTACGTCTACGTGACTTTCAGGCTAATGTTTACAATTAAAAACCCTTTGATGCAATTTATATTGAAATAGGTTATTGGTAAGTATTATCGACCAGGCAACAGCCGCGTCTAGACAAAAATTTTCTGCCGTGAAATTTTGATCATTCATTTTTATCGGGATGTCTGTATCTACGTGTTTAAAAATGGGCTATAAAACTGTTTTTTATAATTGGTTTTGTTTTTCCACCTTGATTCTTTGAGAGCTAATTGAATTAATATCTTTACGTATCAGTCTGTCGGGAAAATACTAAGCACAATATCGCTGTGCCATTCACGTCACTGGAGTGAAAAGCACTTTGATTTTGCCGCGACACAACTCATTTCCTCAGCGGCAATACAATTTTCGATGCGACAGAGTGCTCATTATTTTTCCGACAGAGACTGATAGACAAGCTAAATCAAAAATATCTTTTAAACAGCTTTATTTTGATAAATAAATTACTAATTCAACTTTAGGAAAAGTTATTCCAGTCCAGCCAGCTCTCTGACTGGTGCAAAGCCGACTCTTCTCTTCTCGAAGTCATGAACTTGACAGTACTGCCGGATGAACGGATCACCCAGCAACCAAAAATCGAAATCCGCGCTGGCCAACATAAATTGGCACATGTTTTTGTCACCCACATTTCGCAGCATCTGATTCGCCGGGATGTGCAGAACCTTCCCGTTCACGGTGATATGAAGCGTGAACTTGGCGTTGCACTTGACCAGATAGCCTGTTCCGCTTTTCGTGACTTTGACCTTCTTCAAAATCTTTACAAAGTCATCCCGCGGAGCGAAAATTGATGAGGTTCCAGTGTCGGTTACGCCGTAGGCTGGGGTGAGTTCTTTATCGTCAACTGGAAGAAGGATTGTATATAGTAAAAAAAGTGGGAGTTTTTAGACGGCAACAAACAGATTTTTTTCAAAATTTTGAACGTAAGTCGTGCCAAGGGTGTTTATCAATTTCCGAAAGTTTTAACTCGTGCTTCGCAGAGGCAGCCGAGATATTCAACAGTCTTTGCCAACGAAAGCATGTAAGGGTAGTCGAAGAGAAAGGCGCTTTTTGGTAAGATCTCTAAGCTGACATTAGCCTGCGGTTTACGATTTAGAAATTTCAGGCTCAATTACTTGTATGGTGAATATTTTTTTTCCGAAAAATCGAACTTTTCCATCAAGAAGCAGGGAAGTTATAGGCGAAAAAAGCTTTTCATCTTGGCAACTCTCCTCAAAGCACGTGCGCCTTTGCAAACAAGTCGTTGAAAATTTTGTCTGTGACTGAAAATACTGCAGCAACTGCCATAGACACCATCAATTGAAAAAAGCCTAAATTTGGTATCAAAAAGTATCACAGACCCATAAAAATTAACCCTTTACTTTTGACCCCATCCCGTTTGGTCAAAAAAGCCCAATTTTGGTATCAAAAAGTATCACATGCCCATAAAAAAATTGCCCTTACTTCTAATTCTATCCATTTTGAACTTCCAATGGATTTGATTCGGCACAATGTCGGCCCACACTTTCACATTGCAGCAATGGTTTTTGTCATGGTCGCCGAAAGTGATTAGCCCTCCGTCTTCGCAATCGCCATTGCACTTCTTCATGTAGACGGTGAAGATTGGCTCGTCCATGATGCCCTCTTTTATGGCTTGCTCGAAAATATTGGTGGCTCCTCGATCCCTCGGGAAGGCTAGACCAAGAATCCCGTCGTCGGTGAAATGCATCTCTTCGCCGGCGCCAAATTTGACCTTTTCTTTGAATTTGAGCTTTTCTTGGTCCTTTCCACCGAACTGTAAGGGAGCAGTTGGCATTAAAACTCGAATGTGACGCATTTAATTTTTTTGGCTTTGTGCAAAAATGATGACAAAACATCGCCCAAAGATAAAAAAGCATTTCGGTTCAACACAAAATCGGCCGACACGAGGCGTATAACACAGGGGGGGGACCAAAAAGAAGGTTGTAGGAGATGATTACAAGGCCTGGAAAAGCCGTGAGACTCTCTGCGGAGACTTGACCACTTTTTGTAATTTTAGCTATTGCTACATAGGTTTAGTTTTCTTGACCTCGAGCTTTTGCAACATAGAAAAAATCAAAATTTGCTTCAGAAAACAAAGACCCGTAAGTTTCAATGGATATTATTGTTTTAATATACGTAAAATATGTACTTCAAAGTAGGTGAAAAAAAGAAATTCTCTCCCATGGCCTGATCAATCCTAAAATTTCTATAATATGTATTAACTAAGCCCTCTTCTAGCCTTCCCTATACATATACATAGACCGACGTATCGATGCGGCCCAAAATATCATCGACCCGAAAATTCGTAGCCCCGAAAAACCTACAGTAAAAACATCCTTATAGTAAACTCCAGTCGCTGAGCCAGTCGCATATTCGATCCTAAATGACTCTCCTGTATTCTCGGAATCGGGAGAATTCTGCGGGTTGTATGTGCCAGTATATGGGCATCTGGTGCAATATGGACCATTCGAAAAGCACCCGTCTTTCGGTACCCAAAGAATGTCCGAGCCAGTGTCAAATACGACTTTAAATTCCTGACCACCGATAGTGATTTTCCCAAAGTATTCCAAGTCATTCTTGTTGTTGAGTTGTTGCCCATAAACATCGTATAAAACGCTAGTTTTGTTGGCTGAAAATGGGATTTATAATAGTCGTTTGGCAATTTGACCTGTGGCCATGTATAAACTTTAGTTTTGATATTTAAAACTTACTAACTTTCTTCGACATCCCAATGCTAAACGACTTCCCATGAGTCCAGGCATTCAGTAGAGCCAATATTAAACATACGACTCCCACAATCTTCCTCGTCATTTGCCGCCAACTGTATCTACGACTTGTGGAACACCCAGATTATATAACACTAAAGATCAAACAAATTGTGAACCCTCTGGGCTGTTGTCTATTTGACCACACAGCGGACCCAAATTGACTTATAAAAACATATAATGACTTATAATGAAATGATTTTTTTATAAGTCATTATCTGTTCTTATAAGTCATTTTAAATGACTTATATGTTCATATATGATTTTATAAGGGTTCTCTATGCGCTCTTGTTGAATTGACTTATAATTTCATATATGTTTTTATAAGTCATTTTATTTATAACCGCACCGTGCAAAAAAAATGAACATTTATTTCAATCAATAACTCAAACAATTAAGTGGCACAAGTAGAATAAGACTTCAATGCACGAAGGACCTGAGATTTTTTGATGGGGCGTTCGTCGCTTCTGTAGGCGGCCGTAGATGTATATTATTGCTTCTAATGCTTCTGGTTTCACTGAAAATATTTGGAGATATTAGAAAAAAGTTTTTTTTCGGGAAACTATAATATGAGTTCGGCTTAAACTCAATTTTTTATGCGTTACATACTAACAGTAAAACAGATGAATTTGAACTGCCTAAAAGGTTTCTGGCGGAAAAATTTTTAGACATGAAATTTGCGATATTGTACTAGGTCCAGGTGAATGTTATCAACCATACCTTAAGCTACCGGATGTCATCTTTCTATTCATCGTGTATACATTGTCCATTGGATTCCTCCATGACCATTTTTGCAGTTATCTAAAACCCAACGGGTTCACCTGGACCTAGTACAATATAACAAAACTTTGTCTTGAAGTTTTTTCGAGACCTCTGAAATGTGGAAAACAGTTAAAAAACACCTACCAAAATTGAGCAAATGGATCCTTTAGCAATCCGTTGGTTGATCGTGCATGTTTATACATCTTCTTGGGATGGATCTTCTTCAGGCTGGCATGCTCCCTGCACGGGAAGGCTATTACGTTCGGGACTTTTCATCTAAACACTCTAAACTCTTGCAAAACAAAAAAAGGCTGATTAAAAGCATCTTACTTTGATCGATCCAAGGTAGAAATACGTCGCGACGTTCCAAAAAACTTAGAATTTCACAAGTCCAGCTCACGCGTGCACAAAGCAAAAAGCGTATTTGGCGCTCAAAAGTTTTCTTTGCAAAGAACTTATTTGTTATTATAAGTTCTTATTTGTTTTTATAAGTAAAGAGAAATAAGCCCCTCCTCTTTTGACGTTATTTTGACTTATAAGTCATTATCTGTTCATATAAGTCGTTATATGTCTTTATAAGTCAATTTGGGTCCGCTGTGCAGCGATTGGTGAATTTTAAGTCTGTGGTCGTAGCTGGACGCTATAGAATTGTACACTCTTTGATGTTCGTGTATCATGTGATCGGGCCATTTTTAAATCCGCGTCGCAAACAATTTTTTATTGCCTTCGAGGCCTGTAAAGCTTATTAATTATTAGTCCTGACCTTAATGGAGAGCTTTGTATTTGTGCGGAAAGCTTGCGACAAAAAGTCTACGCACTTTTGCTACGGCGTAGTAGCTCTTGTGAAAAAACTGCCTTAAAATTAACATTTTTTTGGGGAGAGGGTGACCCCTTCCCCTAGCCGTTTCAACGACCAAAAATTATTTTATACGTCCTGGAACCGGGTCTCCCATAAAGGCAACGTTTTAGTTGTTTATTCAGCGGCTTGCTTATATAAGAAGTTTGATTTATATCTGGCGGCAGGGGGGGGGGGGTCCAAAAAAATTTCGTCGCCTATTTATCAGATATGTATGCAATTCGATGGTAGGCGAAAATAAATTTGGCCTATTTATTGGATTTCCCCTCGGACCTACTTATTTTTTTTCAGAAAATTTTTATCGATTTTTCTGAAAAAAAACCGGTAGGCCTGTAAGGCAATCGCCTACCAAAAAAATCCTAAAAAAATGGAAAAAAGTTTAATATGCGAATCAATGTTTGGCATAAAAGTGAAGGCGAGAGAGGCACATTTATGCGGAATACAAGACGGCATACATGAAGGAATTGACATGTTCTTAGTAGGCTATTGAGAGATTTAGGGTACTTAGCAAAAATCCAAAAAAAAAAAACCCAGAGAGATGTATGCGGAACATGAAAGACGATACATTTAGCAAAAGTATGCGAATCAATGGAAATGATGATGAAAATAAAAGTAGGCAAGAGTTGCACTGGACTACTTTACAGGAATATTAAAATTCTGAAAAAGAAGGTAAGCCAAACAAGGTATTTCGGTACAAAAAAGAGGTAGGCTGAATTCGCAGGTTTGGACAACTTACAAGGGAAGTACCCGAAGTGCGACGCTCAGATTTTTATAAAAATTGGCATAGATGGAGATTAGAATTTTCTTATGCGATTGCGAACATCCTAGCTCGCGCTTTGCAGAATCCGCCGAGAAAGAAGGGCCGGAATATCGAAAAAAATCTTCAAATGCCGACGAATTTCCCTGCAAATTCTCTTGATCTTGGCATTTCGTCCCAGGAGAAAAATATTTTTTCTCGCAAGAAATTTTTTCTTGGTAATGTTCAAGATTATTTTGCTGCTTTTATGTGGAATATTGTGTGTTATTTTAATTTTTTTACACTCTGGACATGATTCTAGCGCTATTAATTGGATTGTCGCCATCCGAGGGGTAAAATGTTTCGTCCTTTGACGAATTTATACAGTTTTTCCTCTGCTGATGCGCAAACCACTCTAATAGTTGCTTTAAAGTTGTTTAGGAGACATGCAAACGTTCTACGGTCGCGTAGGAACGTAGTCTTAAGGTAAGTGTTACAAAAACTTTATTATTTTTCAGTGAGCAAATTCTGAACAACAACAAGAGCGAATGTACACCATCGGAACACTGACGGAACACCTTGGGACCTTTACGTTGTTTTCTGAAATGGCATAAACTGAAAAATAGTGGAAAAATAAAATGTTTGTAACACTTACCTTATGACTACGTTCCTACGCGACCGTAGAACGTTTGCATATCTCCTAAACAACTTTAAAGCAACTATTAGAGTGGTTTGCCCATCAGCATTTGCCCACCGCTGATCAACGTGCCGTTCGTCAGCATCTTCCTCAACCTCCCAAGGAAGGGATATCGGCACGATGAGCGCTATGCTCATTTTTGCGACGTCGACAATCGGCACAACAACGCGACGGTACGCAGTCTTCGCGTTCGCGCATACATGAACCAGCGCAGCCTGAATGTTGCAAAAGGAGTGTTCAATCTGGTGTGCAACGACACGAATAGAATAAGAATGGAGAACTGCATGCACCTCACTCCTTATCGAAGTAGGTTTCCTACACCTTGTTACATTGTTAAAAAAAACTTTCAGTCCAGCAAACCGCATTCCAAAGGCAAAGACAAGAGATGCCATGGTCATGCACAAACGTGGAGAGCTACACGTTCGACAAAAGCATCAGTCTGGAGGCCGAATTCGTGGTCGTTGATTTCGTCAGGACCAGGGACCAAGGATTCATCCTCAACGCGGATGTTGAATGGCCTTGCTACCCCGACGTGAAACGTTTATTGGTTGGAATGAGCAGGGCCAAGCGAGCGCAGGTGATTTTGGCGTCCGTGGACGATGAGAAAGCACGTCGCAACCCAACCACAACGCTGGAGATACTGGCACACCACCACATGTGGAATCGACACCGGAAGCTGCTATACGTCAACTTGTAATGTAATCTCTCTTTCTATTCGCCTACCTCTTTTTCTCTTTTTTGTACCCAAAACCTTGTTTGGCCTACCCTTCATATTCGTGGAAAGCAGGCCGTTCACCGAAATCCGAAATTAAGTAGTCCAAAACCGCGAATCCAGCCTACCTCTTTTTTGCACCCAAAAACTTTGGCCTACCCTCATTTTTATATTTGTGGAAAGTAGGCGGTTCACCGAAATTCTAAATTAACAAGGGAAGTACCCGAAGTGCGATGCTCAGATTTTTATAAAAATTAGCATAGATGGAGATTAGAATTTTCTTATGCGATTGCGAACATCCTAGCTCGCGCTTTGCAGAATCCGCCGAGAAAGAAGGGCCGGAATATCGAAAAAAATCTTCAAATGCCGACGAATTTCCCTGCAAATTCTCTTGATCTTGGCATTTCGTCCCAGGAGAAAAATATTTTTTCTCGCAAGAAATTTTTTCTTGGTAATGTTCAAGATTATTTTGCTGCTTTTATGTGGAATATTGTGTGTTATTTTAATTTTTTTACACTCTGGCCATGATTCTAGCGCTATTAATTGGACTGTCGCCATCCGAGGGGTAAAATGTTTCGTCCTTTGACGAATTTATACAGTTTTTCCTCTGCTGATGGGCAAACCACTCTAATAGTTGCTTTAAAGTTGTTTAGGAGATATGCAAACGTTCTACGGTCGCGTAGGAACGTAGTCATAAGGTAAGTGTTACAAACATTTTCGAATTTGCATAGAATCAAAGGACAAAGTCGTGATCAGATCAATTTCACTACGCGGGCCAAAAAGCCTTGACATTCTCGCACTATCATTAAATTTTTCTATCAGTCTGTCGGGAAAATAACGGCGGATCGTCGCAGCAAAATGTCTCGCCTCGCCTCTATCGCGAACCAAATCTCCAGCTTCGGCAGCCGTCGCAAAGCGATGACGGGCGATTCCGAGGCGCGACGATCCGCCGTTATTTTTCCGACAGACTGATATGTACCAGCAAGCGTAAGTCTTTGAAAGCCGTGCTTTGGCTAAAAAATGGCTAGCCGCAGCAGAATTGGTACACAATCGTGTCCTTTTTTCGACGAGACAAAACATTTTACTGCAACAACCCGCCACTATTTTCCCGACGGACTAATAACTGCGTTTGAAAAGTTTACTGGCTTATTTGAAGTCGTCTTTGTGTTCAGTCAGACACAGCTCTGTTCCTTACTGAACGTGGCGGCATCGTTTTGTAGGCCCATTTCGAGCCTGGTCGGGCTATATGTACACCTCTAAAACTTTAAAAGCCAGATCGGGAAGATTTTGTATTAAGATTAGTCTTTACATGGCTTGTTGTCATGTCAGAAAAGTGAGCAAAATCGTGCAAAACTTGTATTTTGCTATAGTGTATCGAATGGCAAATAAAAGAAAAATAAATTACATAGTCTTGAACAAATTAATTGTTGAGTTGCTCACTTGAATAGGTCTATTGTAGTCGTCTCTATTATGAGCGTGGCTGATGGGGTTTCAACAGCGGCCGCATTAGAACCTTCTTCGGTGGTTGGGTCTATTGCGCTGACTGTGGTGACAACAGTTACCGGTTGAGACGAGCCCGTGGGCGTGAACAGCCTTTTCGAAGTCGGATTCTTGCACAATCCGCAAGACTTTTCGCATTGAAAAGCTAATGGAGTACGACAAAGGTAATGCTGTAGAGCAGTGCGACATCTGAAAATCGATGAGGGTATATCAACGATTTGCAAGTCTATCTTGCAAATGGCGCCAAAAGTCCTGAGAATTTATTGCGGCCCCCGATTTCTTTCGCACTTTGAAAAAATGGCTTGTTGCTGCGGAAAATGGGAAATGCATGCGACACAGTGCAAAAAACAAAACAATTGCGCTGTGCAAAATGTTTCTTTTTGTTTTAAAAAGCACAGTGCAGACTCGCAGAAAATCCCAAGGACTTTTTTCCGCGGGTATGTGATTCTAAAACCTACTCTTTGCTAGTATCTTCACATAGCGGTTCGCAAAGCCCGCAGCTCTTCCTGCAAAGCTGCTTCAAGACGGTGGGAACAAATGGATTTTTGCAAAGCAGGGTAGCTACAGCGCACGTTGAAGATATGTCTCTGCAGTCGTCTTTGATTGGGCCAATACCGTGACCATTGGGAGACAACAACAATAACAAAAAGACTTGTAATATTTCTGACATCTCTGACATTACAGTATGTAAATACGTAATGTATGTAGTAGTAGGTTTTGTAAAATACGCTTCCTTGAGATGAGTCCTCGACGCGTCGGATTTCAGGGATTCAGCTCAACTGTGAAGTTATATACGAGTCCCATAACCCCAACATATTTGTACAGAAAGGGCTCTAAATATAAACGGCTTTGGGATTTCTTGTTGATACATCTGGAAGGTATCAACAAAAACAACGCTTGGCTCTGTTCATGTTTACGCTCTAGATTGTGCCCCTATCAAAAAAAATCAGAAGCTAGAACGAGTATGTTTGAAACGTTGAAACGAATGAAAGTTTCGATTGTGTTTATTCCACTTGACTTGATGCGCTTTCAAACTTGGCTTCATCTGCAAATTCAAGGTATCTACTTTATCAGCAACTACAGTTTGTTCATTTCAATTGCATGCTTCCGCATACTTTTGAACTCAAGGCTAATTATAAGCCACCATTTTTCAACGATTTCCATTAGCTTGGCAAAAAACCCAATTTTCTGCTTATTCTTTCTACAGGGTGCGCCAAAAAAATGGACAAAAATATTTTGGCAATATCTGGCTCTGGGGTAAAATATTCGAGGAAACGTTTTAGCCCACTAAATAGCGACGTTCAAGCAATATTATATATATAAAGAATGAAGGTATAACTTTACTGCAACTTTTTTTCTCGGGGGTTAAAGTTGACCATGTCCCGATCGCAATTCTCGAAAAAGGGTCCTTTGGAAAGTGAGGCATAAATATTTTTTGAGGCGTCACCAAAACTTCAAATAAAAGTTCTCGAATACGTTAAGACCAGTACTATCACATATGTAAAGGAATAGTACTAGTAACTTTCCATTTCAATACCGCGGACATTCTAACTTGAGCCGCAGGGGCATTAAAATAAAACCCAAAATTTTGAAAACCAGTAAAAGTTTGGTAGTGAGAAACTGATAAGGCTTTGGACAACTGCCAAGCTTTGAGTTGTTTGCCGACCGAGTAGGTACTGAAAAAATAAATTTTTAACTTTTCAGCGTCGTCATGCTTCGAGTTAGTAACAAAATTCTAAAATTTTGGACGAAAACTGGAGATTTTTTTTTAAAAGTTTACTGCAGAGTCGCTGTTAATCCTAGCTGGCTCAAAAGGCACTTATAGTATAAATTTAGGTCTCTTCTATAGTGTCAAAAAGTTTCAAGCTGAAACCTGCGCTTTCGGCGGAGATCCGAGGGCTCAAAAGGGAACAGGTGGGTGCCCGTGAAAAGTACCGTGTCAGCGGCTCTTTTTCTTAACTTTCAGACACACTGGAGCCGTGCCTTACATTTTTCTGTTGAATCAGCGCGTGGCCCGCATAGAATAGATTATTAGGAACATCTCATGCCGGTTTTTACAATTCTTCTAACCGATGACGCCGAGATATTGAGTTCAGAAGCCATTCCTTCCAAAGATCTGCAAAGATCAGGGTCAGTCCGACTTCTGATGCTCTTCCTCAGAGCCGGAGTCGTTTCTGCTCTGGGTCTACCACTTTCTGGGAACCTCTAGAGGCTACCAACATTCTCAAACATATCCTAAGTCCATATGACAGTTGTACGGAGAGAACCACAACCTCAAACAATTTTCTTCCGGGAAAATTCTTTAGAAAATAAAGCCACAATTTGGGCCCTCTTTGCCTTTTCGCCCATATTGCAAAAATGTGCGGGAAAAGTAAAAAAGGGTTTTAAGGGGTCTGCAAGTGACTGGTTTGTGGTCATAATGGTCCCATTTTTCCTACTGGTTACGCTTTTCGTGGCGGGACACAACCCTTTTTATTTTTGTCCATTTTTTGTGGCGCACCCTGTACTTGGCAATTTGCCGTTTTGTCCATTTGGCCTTGGCTTTGGAGTTGGCTAAAGCAGAAGTACGGAAATAGTGTTGTAGTGTTCCGTCAAGAGAAGCTGTTCTAACAAGTTTTTAGAAGGACTGTTCATATTTTCGGCTTCCGGACTTTTTTCGTTTGATTTGGTATACGTTGTCATAGAGCACACATATTACCTTTTGGATACTTATAGCGCGGTTAGACGTCTGATACATATTATAAAAAATTCCAAAAGGCAAACTTTACATAACAAACTGCTTTTATTGTGAACTGATATTGTTATGTTTGAGGAACAAACCAAGCTTGAGTCTATTCTGATATGTATACGTAATGTAAGGCAAAAGTTATTTTCCAATCTTCTTTGCTTTTTCCTTGAGCCAGTCGAGCCATCCCTTCTTCTTTTTCTTTCCATTATCATAGCCACGATCCCGTCCATTACCTCTATGTTCATCATCGACATCGCCGTCTGGCAGCTGATTGTCCTTTTCGTCTTTCTGCCCATTATTGTCTTTGTTTTTCTCGTTATCTGGGTTGTCATTTTCCTTTTGGTCCTCCTCTTTCTTGTCTTTGTTTTCGCCGTCGTTTTCACCATCAGGTTTATCATCTTTTTCACTGTCGTTGTCGTTTTGGTCGTCAGGGTTTTTGTGACCATCTGAGCCGTCTTTGTCGTCAGGGTCTTTGCCGGAGCCATCCTTCTCTCCAGAGCCATCTTGATCGTCATGATGCTTGTCATTATCTCCAGAGCCATGCTTATCTTCATGATCATCCGGACCATCTTTGTCGTCAGGATCCTGGTCGTCTTTGCCTGAGCCATCCTTTTCTCCAGAGCCATCTTGGTCGTCGTGGTGCTTGTCATGATCATCTGAACCGTTCTTGTCATCAGGATCTTGGTCGCCTTTGCCGGAGCCATCCTTCTCTCCAGAGCCATCTTGATCGTCATGATGTCTGTCATTATCTCCAGAGCCATTGTGGTCATCTTTTTCTCCAGATCCATCTTTACCTTTTTCTTTGCTATCGTCATTATGTCTATTGTCATCTCCACCATTGCCATCATTATCATCTTTTTTATCTTTGTCCTCTTCGTCACTTCCAGAGCCATGATGATCTTCATCTTCAGGCTCTTGAGTTGCATGCTCCTCAGAACCCGACTCACTCGAGCTGCTTGATGAGCTATCGGTATGGTTGCAGTGGTGGTTGTGGTGATGTCGGTGTCTTCTCGTGGTGCTTCTGGATTCCCATCTTTCTGTAGCGTTATTGCTGTCATCATGCCTTTCTGTCACATTAAAGTTTGGAGACTCAGTGAATTCATCTGGAATGCTATGAGTAAATTCGTCTGGGATGCTGCGATCAGTACTGTTATGAGTGGATTCGTCGCGATTTTCATTCTCATCATCACGATGACCGTCCTCTGTTGTGTTATCAATCGGGCTAGGAGTGGCATTGTCTTCCTTGCAAAACCCACAAGTTTTCTGACAGTGGCTCTTGGCGAAAGAGGTAGTCGCGCAGAAATCGCGACTCTTGAGAACATTGCACCTAAAAACAAAAGTCAATCAAGTGAGTATATTCACCATCAATCATGCTATCTGCGGCATAACAACCTCTAAAAAATCGGGGAAATCTTTTGCTACTAGTGTTTGTATACAGTAATATTCCAGTTGAAAACGGCCAACTTACGACATCGACTGGTCATAACAAACAATCTTTCCGCACAACCCACATGTTTTGGCGCAGTTCGTGGACATATACCGGTAATATGGCGTATAATTGCACACACTAATCAAATTGCGGCAGTTTGAAGCTTCGTCTTCGCAGTTTTCGGGCACCTTGTAGCCTGCAACCGCTGCAACGAATACCAGAAGGAATATTGAAGATAGAGGCAACTTCATTGTTTTTGAGTCCGGAATTCACTGGTCCGTCCTTATATTGCGAACCATTTTGGTCGTTTAGGCGTCAAGCCGGCACTTATTTGCACAAATGCACAAACGGTGATTTGGCAAACGGAGTCTAATGCGGTTTGAAAAGTCGATTTGCAAAACTACATCGTTTTGTATTTTTTTGGTCTTAAAACAGCGAAGAGTGTTCTGGGCAAACGATGAGAAAATAGATGAACTCACGCCTATTTCGAGAGTTTTTTTTCAGTGTCAGAACTGTACGATTGTGCTTTTGCTCCATCAACACTTTGAGGACAAACCACGCAGTTGTTTCTTGTGTCTATTTGTTCTACTGTCAAGGGGGACCAAGTGCGACGCTCAGGTTTAGACGGAACATGTCACGAATTTACGTGGATTAATTTTTCAGACAATAAGACATATGCAAGACTCATAGCTCGGGATCTACAGAAAAGCCCGCGGTTTTGTAGCCGAACATTGGAAAAATGTTGACCTTTATCAGTCTGTCAAAATAGCGGCGCACGGCGAACCGAAATATTATAGAACAGAAATGTCTCCCGCCCACATTTGAGTTTCGTCAAACGAAGTGTCAAAATTCACAAAAAAATAAAAAAATTTCGAGATAAATATTTTTCCATCGAAAAACCGCACGAAAAATTCTGTTGTGACATTTCGTGTGAATTTGACCGATACTGGGTGTGCGAAGTGCCGAAACGAGGAGGGACACTCTATGGGTTGCCGTGCGGCGGGTCGTCGCAACAAAATGTTTCATCCCGTAGAAAAAAAGGTATAGTCATGAACCAACTCCTCAGCGGCTCCAGCCATCGCAAATCGGTGATGGACGTTTCCCCTACTCGTGTTTTCCTTTCCACGATTCACTATCCTCTAGAACTTTCTGCACTGTTGTGCCGTGTACCCTATGCCAAGATTTTTGAGCACTTTCCAATACTCCGTTGGGGCTATACCACTACCAAGAAAGCTTTCTACACCAGAAAAGGATCTCAACTCGGAGGTCGACAGCCGCTGCGGTCAGAGGGTCGTTTCACGCGCTCGTCCAATCGCCCCTGATGAGTTGTCGAAAGGCCCGGCAACCTAATAACCGATCAAGAAGAGGACATAAGAGTCAAGTGATTTATTCAGTGAAAAGGAAGCCTTTTATAGAGAAACCCCACATAGAAAAGTGTAATAAAATTTGAATAAGCGAAGACATTTCCTCGTGGGAAAATCCTCGAAGCTCGGTCGTTCCGCCTCACAACTTCTCTCCTGAGCCATCGTCATGATGCCTGTCATTATCTCCAGAGCCATTGTGGTCATCGTTTTCTCCAGATCCATCCCTATCTTCTTTGCTATCATCATCATGTCTATCGTCGTCTCCGCCACTTCCGTCTTGATCATCTCTTCTATCTTTGTCCTCTTCGTCACTTCCAGAGCCATGATGGTCTTCATTGTCATCATCACGATGGCTGTCCTCAGTTGTGTTATCAATCGGGGTAGGGGTGGCGTTGTCTTCGTTGCAGAACCCACAACTTTTCTGACAGTACTTCTTGGCGAAAGAGGTAGTGGCGCAAAAATCAGGGCGATCTTTGAGCGTTGTGCATCTAAAGAGTTAATTGAGCGGTTATACCCATCAGTACAAAAACTAAAAAAAAGTGAAATGCATGGTGCAGGGTGCGGTATTTTGTGCACGGTGCGGGACGCGACAAATGTCCATACACTTTTTAAAAACGAATATTTCAATCAAAAACGGCCAACTTACGACCTGGAATCATCAAAACAGGTGATATTTCGGCACAACCCACAAGTTTCGGCGCATTGCGTGGTCATATATATGGGAGGTGCTTTATAAATTTCAGCGCGCTAGTCCATCCCAACCCCGCGGATTTAGTCCAAAGTTAAAAGTTCACGAAAAAGGGGGAGGGGAGGAGGAGCCGACAGAGAAAGGCAGAAATTTTTACAAAGAGAGAAATTGCGCAACGTTATGTAAGATTGCGCAACTTTTAACTTTGGACTAAATCCGCAGGGTTCGGACGGACTAGCGCGCTGAAATTTATAAAGCACCTCCCATATATCGTTCATATGGCGCATACTTGCACAAACTAGACCAACGGTTGCAACTTGAATCTCTGTCTTTGCAGTCTTTGGGCACCTTGAAGCCCACAGCCGCTGCAACGAACGCCAGAAGGCATAATGGAGATAGAAACATATTCATCGTTATGGAATGCGGAATTCAGCGCTCCATCCTTATATTGCGAACCATATTCGAGGTTTATGTCTCAAGCCGGCACATAAATATTTGCACAAGCGGTGATTTGGCATACGAAGTCTTCAGCAGTTTGCAAGGCAATTTACAAAACTACATCTTTTCTTCATCCTTTCATCCTTTTTTGGCCCTACAGTAGGGTGAGTCATCCAGCCACATGATAAAAAACAGATAGATTCACGCCTATTTCGAGGGTTTTTTGTGCGTGTCAAAACTGTTTGATTGTGATTTGGCTCCTTCAATAGTTTGAGGACAAACCACGCAGTTGTTTCTCCTGTGTATTTGTTCTACTGGCAAGGGAAGGCTTCCATATCCGAGACTCCTGGCTCTGCAGAAACGCCGGAGATTTTGTTGTCAAACAGAAAATCTTGCTATGGGAAGTTTCGCTTCATTACCTCGTTTTCTCGCACGTGCTGATTCGCCAGAGCCAATACAAAGCATAGCTGAAATCCGGGCTGCCACAGCCTGGGAAGTGCTGAAAGCCCGGCCCGATAGGCCGGGGTAAAATTGTTGGTATAATTTATCGACGTAGAGAGAAGCCATGACCAGCCAATACAGTATTTTCAGACCGTCACATTCTTTAGCCCTTGACTCAATAGGCGTGGGGCGGAAAGGTTGAGCAAGGATTTTTCCTCGAGAATTTATCTTGGTTTATACAAATTGGAGTGTATTTTCACGTGAGGTTCCCTACTTTAGAAGTCTTCCTTTCCACTGAATAAATCACTTGACTCTGCGGAGCTCTGCAGCTCTCGTCTTGGTTGGTTACCGGGTTGTCGGGCTTTTCGACAATTTGAGCCAAGAGAAGAGAACTTTTTGTGTGTCCACGCTAGCTGTGGCTTGCTCCCTGCCATGCAAGATACTGTCCTCATTATGGATATGCCTTGAGGTTTATCACATTGTGGCTTAAATAGTCCCAACCGCAACTTTGACCTTTCAAAATTTGTCCGCAAACGGGTGACGTTGTCGGCAGAAAAGTTTGTTTGATCAGGTTTGAAAGAGCTATCTGCCTTCGAAACCGCAGTTTTCAATTGTTCATTCTGAAACCTCTAAATTGAGTTGATGTGGATAAAATTCGTTGTTTTCGCGCTTCAACTGTGCGTCATCAATGCGGGCAAGGTGGAGGTCAGCATAGAGGAGGTGGAGCGGAAAGGTATGTAAACGGCAACAAAACGACTGTACTATGTTTTCATATGTTTTTATGAACGCCTACCGGAAGTTCGAAAAACCCCAAGTTCGACAACCAAAAGTTCGAATGCCGCAAGTTCGAATGCTGCAAGTTCGAATACTAGAAGTTCGAAAAACCTTAAATTAGAAAAACTAAAAGATCGAAAACCGGAAGTTCGAAATATGAAAATATAAAAAATGCAGAATGAAAAAAAAGAATCGAACTTGCGGTGGGTCTCCGAACGCCTACCGTAAGTTCGAAAAACCCCGAGTTTAAATCTGCCTCACACGCGATTTTTTTGCCCTGTGAAAAAAACTGCTGCTCTGCTCGCAAAGCCGTTTTTTGGTATCCAAAAAACGGTTACCCACCGCAAGTTCGAATCCGCAAGTTCGAAAGCCTAAAGTTCGAATGTCTAAAGTTCGAACGACCTCCAGTTCGACAAACCTAATCCAGTTCGACAAACCCAAACCGAGAAAGACACAGTTGGATTGGCTCCATGACGAATCTTGATCAGGTCGACATGAAGAACAGCGCGTTCGTTGTCGGTCAGAGTGTTCGGACAACCAACCTCCATCGTAGAGGATGAATGAATGATTGAAGAGGAAGTGTATTTTGCAAAATAATTATATGCAAATTATAATTTAAAACGGATTTTTTTACAAAGTGAAGCATGGCCCGGACATTGTTGCGGTGACCATCACCGAATTTCTTCAAATTTGGCTCATAGAAGACCCACCGGGCGTACATCGAAAGTGTCAAACGTTTTTGCGAAATTTGCATTATTCGAGGATTACTGTAACATTTTGTGTTTTGTAAAGTTTCTATTGTGATGGGCTGAGGGATGAAGCGTTGCGGATGAAACTTACCGACTGGATGTTTTCGACCATGGCCAACATTTTCCTAATTGAAATGTTTTTTGTATCTCTTCATCTTTTGGTAGTACCGTAACCCTCAACATACCATATCGATTACTGCCAAAAATTGGGAAAAGTGTAACCAGTTTTTAAGCTTGATTATAAAGGCTGGACACACTCTCCGTAAAATAAGACCAAAAAATCCAAAATAAAAATATAAGTTTTTGAGATATACGCGTTCAAAGTTGCTATGTTCGGGTACTGTAGGACCAAAATGGAGATGATGAATTCTCAAACGGTACCATTCATTGCCACGCCTCACCCATTAATAGAGTAGCCTGAGAAAAATATTTTCTGATCAAAAAATAAATATTTCAGGCTTTATTTCAGGTTTTATACGATGGTTACTGTAGTTTCTAACTTTTGTCAATTTCGCTAACCATTTTTTTCAAATGACGCATTTAGACCAGCTATCCCATTGAGAAATGTGTGTACAACGTAAAAATCAAAAAATCAAGGCTATAGTGCTATCAATTCTTAAAATAAAGGGAGATTACGGTAGCCGTATCCGCTTTTTTCGCTGTTTGGCCGCGGCATTCTTTGGAGATGTTAGAGTAACCAGATTTGAGACTGGAAATATGTTTAGAATATACAGGGGAGTATTTTAGCAAAAAATCGCGAAAATAAAAATATAAGTTTTTGAGAAAATCCGGGATTACGGTCATTTCAGGGGGTTTTTGGGCCGTTTGGCCGCGGCATTCTTTGGAGCTGCAAGTGTAACCAGATTTGAGACTGGAAATTCACTCAGAATGGATAGAGGAGTATTCTAGCAAAAAATCCCGAAAATAAAAATATAAGTTTTTGAGAAAATCCGGGATTACGGTCATTTCAGGGGGTTTTTGGGCCGTTTGGCCGCGGCATTCTTTGGAGCTGCAAGTGTAACCAGATTTGAGACTGGAAATTCACTCAGAATGGATAGAGGAGTATTCTAGCAAAAAATCCCGAAAATAAAAATATAAGTTTTTGAGAAAATCCGGGATTACGGTCATTTCAGGGGGTTTTTGGGCCGTTTGGCCGCGGCATTCTTTGGAGCTGCAAGTGTAACCAGATTTGAGACTGAAATTCACTCAGAATGGATAGAGGAGTATTCTAGCAAAAAATCGCGAAAATAAAAATATAAGTTTTTGAGAAAATCCGGGATTACGGTCATTTCAGGGGGTTTTTGGGCCGTTTGGCCGCGGCATTCTTTGGAGCTGCAAGTGTAACCAGATTTGAGACTGGAAATATGTTTAGAATATACAGGGGAGTATTTTAGCAAAAAATCGCGAAAATAAAAATATAAGTTTTTGAGAAAATCCGGGATTACGGTCATTTTAGGGGGTTTTTGGGCTGTTTGGCCGCGGCATTCTGTGGAGATGCTAGTGTAACCAAATTTGAAACCGGAAATATGTTCAGAATATAGAGGGGAGTATTTCAGCAAAAAATCCCGAAAATAAAAATATAAGTTTTTGAAAAAATCCCGGATTACGGTAATTTCGGACAGGAAATCCCTTAAAATCACCGTAATTTCGAAATTTCTCAAAAACTTATATTTTTATTTTCGGGATTTTTTGCATAGGTACTTCCCAAGGCAGAGGGAATTTATTTCCGGTCGCAAATTTGGTTACACTAGCATCTCCACAGAACGCCGCGGCCAAACAGCCCAAAAACCCCCTAAAATGACCGTAATCCCGGATTTTCTCAAAAACTTATATTTTTATTTTCGGGATTTTTTGCTAAGATACTCCGCTGTCCATTCTGAACGAATTTCCAGCCTCAAATCTGGTTACACTTGCAGCTCCAAAGAATGCCGCGGCCAAACGGCCCAAAAACCCCCTGAAATGACCGTAATCCCGGATTTTCTCAAAAACTTATATTTTTATTTTCGCGATTTTTTGCTAAAATACTCCCCTGTATATTCTAAACATATTTCCAGTCTCAAATCTGGTTACACTTGCAGCTCCAAAGAATGCCGCGGCCAAACAGCCCAAAAACCCCCTAAAATGACCGTAATCCCGGATTTTCTCAAAAACTTATATTTTTATTTTCGGGATTTTTTGCTAAGATACTCCGCTGTCCATTCTGAACGAATTTCCAGCCTCAAATCTGGTTACACTTGCAGCTCCAAAGAATGCCGCGGCCAAACGGCCCAAAAACCCCCTGAAATGACCGTAATCCCGGATTTTCTCAAAAACTTATATTTTTATTTTCGCGATTTTTTGCTAAAATACTCCCCTGTATATTCTAAACATATTTCCAGTCTCAAATCTGGTTACACTAACATCTCCAAAGAATGCCGCGGCCAAACAGCGAAAAAAGCGGATACGGCTACCGTAATCTCCCTTTATTTTAAGAATTGATAGCACTATAGCCTTGATTTTTTGATTTTTACGTTGTACACACATTTCTCAATGGGATAGCTGGTCTAAATGCGTCATTTGAAAAAAATGGTTAGCGAAATTGACAAAAGTTAGAAACTACAGTAACCATCGTATAAAACCTGAAATAAAGCCTGAAATATTTATTTTTTGATCAGAAAATATTTTTCTCAGGCTACTCTATTAATGGGTGAGGCGTGGCAATGAATGGTACCGTTTGAGAATTCATCATCTCCATTTTGGTCCTACAGTACCCGAACATAGCAACTTTGAACGCGTATATCTCAAAAACTTATATTTTTATTTTGGATTTTTTGGTCTTATTTTACGGAGAGTGTGTCCAGCCTTTATAATCAAGCTTAAAAACTGGTTACACTTTTCCCAATTTTTGGCAGTAATCGATATGGTATGTTGAGGGTTACGGTACTACCAAAAGATGAAGAGATACAAAAAACATTTCAATTAGGAAAATGTTGGCCATGGTCGAAAACAGTCACACAAAAAGTTTTGGACTCATAGAACCATTACCCGGCCCACAACCAACGCCACTTTATAAAATACAAAATGTTACAGTAATCCCGGAATGGATGAAATTTCGCGAAACCCTTCTTCGCTTTTCATCAGCATGCCCAGGCCCTTCTACTGGCCTTGTTTCAAGAAATTTGGTGATGGTCGTTGCAACAATGTCCGGGCCCCTTGGAGGGAAGCTTCAGTTTGTAAAAAACTCTGTTTTAAATATTAATTAACTTTTTTTTCATTTTCGAACTTTAGTCATTCAAACTTTAGGTTATTCAAAGTTACGGTCATTCGAACATTAAGTAGTTCGAACTGGAGGTCGTTCGAACTTTAGTCATTCGAACTTTAGGCATTCGAACTTGCGGATTCGAACTTGCGGTGTGTCTCCTGTTTTTATCAAGTGCGTAGAGAGTTATTTTCCTTTTATCGCAAACGCACATTTTGGCTTTTTTTGAAAATTGCTGAAAAAACCGATTTCCACTGTGCGAATTATTCGGCAAAAACCGTTCAAAAAAGCTTTTCAAACTTCAGTCCCACAAAGCGACGCATACGGAGCAACACTTACCAACCATCGGAATGCAATTTATATGGGAAATATTGCGATTGGAACCCCGCCGCAAAGCATAAGAGCAATCTTCGACACCGGAAGCACCGTGCTGTGGGTTCCGGGTGTAAAATGCAAGGCCAAAGGAGCACTGGTCAATAACTGCAAGCAGGGATCGAACCTGTTCAACGCGGCCCGCTCCAAAACCGCGGCAAACACGACGTATGCATTTGAAGAGACATATGACCAAGGCAAAGCCAAAGGGCATGTGTTTACGGATACGTTGAAGGTATAGAATGATGGCTTTACTGTTCGAGTAGACTACTAATCATATTAACAGTCTGTCGGGAAAATAATGAGTACACTTTCACAACCTTGTCGCTAAAGCTGAAAAAATTGATTTTGGTCTGACACAGTTCATTTTCTCGGCCGCGATGCCATTTTCGGTGCTACAGGGTGCTCATTATTTTCCCGACAAACTGTTAGTACCATTCCAACAGTCTGATCTTTAGTTCGGCGCCGCTGATTCTCAAGGCCCTACTCTTCGACGAGTTCACTTTGGAATTGCCAGCGACATCGAATACAGCGACGACGCCATCTTTGGCCTCCCTTCCCGAGACGTCTACAACCCCAACGGCAACATCCACAAGTCCATCTTTCATCAGGCCTTCGGCGAAGGTCTGTTCAACAAGCCCATCTTCACCATCCACATGGACCGCTGCAACGATACGAAATGCCGGAAAAGCGGAAAGATCACGTTCGGCGACTTTGACAACGAGCACTGCAATACGAACGACGTGCATTGGGTGGGCGTGCAGAACAAACAAGGATGGGTTTTCCCGATTAACGGAATTCAGCAAGGCGAACAGGTGCTCAGAACCAATATCCCCGCGATTAGTGACACTGGAACAACTAATATTGTCTTGCCGAACTCGCTATGTCAACAGATTGTTAGTGGGTTGAAAGCGAAAAAAATCAGAGATGTAAGTCGTCAGAATAACCTCAGTTTGTCGGGAAAATAATGAGCAATGTCGCAGCGCCGTCCGCATCGTAAAAAACGAATTAATTTTACATCGATACAATTCATTCTCTCTGCGACGATGCGATTTTCGATGCGACAACGCTCGTTGTTCCCCCGACAAACTGATACACAAAGACAGCGCGAAGTTTAGAACACTTTCACCCTTCCTTGCAACTCAACTCCAAGTCTGTCGGTCCTTCTTGACCGGAGATTTACCATAGATCCCAAAGAGCTATTGGTTCCTCTTTCCGCTGCAGATCAGAAGAAACAAGGGAAGAATGTCTGCCGTTTGGCCGTCACATGCTCTTCCAAGAACGATATGATTATTCTCGGTGAGCCATGGACCAGATCGTATTGCCAAATCCATGATATTATGTACAAACGCATTGGATTTTCGACTACAGTCGGTAAGCGGTTATTTTAGTCTGTCCGGAAAATAATGTGGATTCGCAGACCGATCACCCATTATATCGCTCTGCGACGGCTTGTTGCGGCTGTATATTTGGTGCGAGGCTGCGACAAGGCGAGACATTTTGTTGCGACAAATCCACATTATTTTCCCGACATTGTGTTGGCCCGAACTGCCGCGCCAACATGAAGAAAAGTTCTTTTTTCAGGTTCAAATCCAAATGAAAATAAGCAAGGCAACAGGAACAACCAACCCTTCAACAACCCCAATTACGGCGGATATAACGGCAATGGCCCATATAACAACCCATATAATTATGGAGGGTATAACGGGAAGAATCCGTATAATAACCCATACGGCAGTCCTTACGGTGGTTACAACGGCTACAACGGTTATAACGGCTACAACTCGAATCCCTACAGTGGCTACAACTCCTATCCTTATGGCGGTTATAGCGGCTATAACAGCCCGTATAACGGCTACAATTCCAATCCATATTATGGAAGTGGCTATCAATATAACCCTTATAACCCGTACGGCGGTTATTCATATTGCCCGAGTTGTAGTGGCCGTGGTGGCGGTTACGGACGATATTACGATATTCCGTCGAAAAAATAACTCAAATTACGTCATATTTATTAGTAATAAAGTTAACAAAATTATTTATTTTTACATTATTTATTTTCATAAAGTGCATAGACAGTTGTCGCGATCCGGACGCTCTACAAAAAAGCTCCACATTCTGCACCGTGCATTCACTTCTTTTTTGGTTTTTTTGCATTGTGCATCGAAGATAATTTGCACAGTGCAAACAGCGTTATTTTGGTTTGCACTGTGCATTGGCGACAAGTGTGGGAATTCTTTTCGCACTGTGCATTTGAAACATCGCTGCGACGCCGCGGTTTGCTGAAGAACTTGCACAGTGCAAAGGGGGTTTTCTGTGGTTTGCACTGTGCAAAAAATGCACTGTGCGCTAGCGATAAGCGTGGGATTTTTTTTGGTTTTGCACTGTGCATTTGAAATCTGGCTGCGACGCCGCGGTTTGCTGAAGAATTTGCACGGTGCAAACGGGTTTTCTGTGGTTTGCACTGTGCGAAAAGCAACAAATGCACTGCGTTGGCGGGAAGCATGGGAAAAAGTTCAATATTTTTCGATTGCACGGTGCAAAAGGTCAACTGCAAAGTGCTTGCGACAAAAAGTTCACGAACTTTTGAAACGGTGTAGCAGTAAATATGGGAATTCAAAATCTCTTTACAACAATACTTTGCTCAAATTCTAACAATATACATATATTTTCATTGCCTTACAACGGATTTTTGGCCCCATTTGTAGTCGCAATCCTCCCTTCATTGAAACTCCCCAAGTGATACGCCGACTCGGGGCGCTTCCTTCGACGGCAGCAATTTGAAAAATAGCACCGTAAGCCGCAATAAACAGCAAAGCCGATGAAGAAGAAAATCAAGAATCCGACGAGCAGCGACTCGCCAACAACGGCGCCACTCATCGCTTCTTCGCATTCCTGACGCGCCTCCTCTTCGGCATTTTGCACTTCCGTGATTGCGGTGTCGTTTTGGGCAGCCAAATCGGCCATTGTTTGGTTGACACATGTCTCTCTGGAAATATGCAAAAGGTTGTTGTTACAAGGCGCGACAAATCCGCATTATTTTCCCGACAGACTGGGGACAAAACCACATTAATGTGGGAAGCAGAAGAAAGAACTTACACGGCTTGATGGCGATCCGCGGCTCCGGAAAATATGAATATTGTACCGCCGAAGACATGGATGCTGGAGACTCCCCTGTAATTTGCAATTTTTTATTATTCTTGGAGGGACTTGTTGCACGACATACTCCAAGTGCGACGCTCAGATTTTCTTTAAATTTTGCACACACATTGAGAATAGACTAGGTATCAATTCCTGAAAGTTTTAGCTCGCGCTTTGCAGGTGCCGCCGAAATATCGAACGGTCCTTGCCGCCGAGAGAATACGCACAACGTGGAGAGCGGTCAGAGAGAAAAACACTTTTTGGCCATGACTTTGCTATAGTTTCGCGCGTAAAAAATTGATTTTTTGTGAAAACATTACCCTTCACAATAGAAATATGCACGAAACTTTTCGTGCTGAAGTTCGTCAAAAATTGTCAAAATTTTGTTTTTGCCGACTTTCGATCTAAAAATCTCGATGGTTTCTGCAAAGCGCGAGCTAGGATTCTGGCATATGTATTTGAAAAAATAGCCTAACTTTTTGCCCAGCTCCATCAAAATCTGAGCGTCGCACTAGAGGTACTTCCCATGTAATTGTAAGCTGAAATTTACTAGTTTTTATATTTGAGCCATGCCTGGTGTGTGTTGAAAATTTACGGCAAACTTGACCGTTGCCTTTTGGACACTTTCGATCGCGAAGATTGTCTGTCAGTCTGCCGGGAAAAGAACGGCGCCTCGGAATCGCCCGTTATCGCTTTGCGACGGCTGCCGAAGCAGGAGTTTCGATGCGCGACAGCACCCTTTTTTCGACAAGGCGAGAATTTTTTCTGCGACGACCCGCCGTTATTTTCCCGACAAACTGATAAAATGCTTCGACCAAAAGTATTGGCTTTTTCTAGAAACCGCAGTTTTGCGACACAAACTCTACGCAATTTATCACGCGACTAATGCTACTCACCTTCCAGCATGTCCACCGACTCCTCTCCCCGCACTGCCACTTTCTCCACCTTCTCCTCGAGCAGCTCCTCCACCTTTGCCGTCATCGTCTCCGCCACCCTTCGACTCGGCCAAATGCAATAAAAGCGAGAGACTTACAACTACTAAAGTCGTCTTCATTTACAGCTACAGCATAATATGTACAAACCAAACGCTAAAATACAAAACCGTGAGAAATATTGTTTGGGGAAAGTAAACACTCTTATTATCTCAAAATCGATAAAACACATGTGTTTCAGTAAGTCATGGCCTTGTAATACGTGCGGTTTCCACAGTAACAAAATGAGGGAGGTCTTGTAAACTTAGGACGGTTTGAAAATACATGTGTGTACAAATATGAGAGGTATAGTAAAAATAAAATAATAGCCACTTACTAGGGTTCTACATTGGTTTTTTTACGCAGAAAATGTCATCAATGTAGAATTATTCAATAAAGACTTGGCTAAGTATGTATATATACATATAGGGTGACCCAAAATAACGGAGACAATTTTTGAAGGGTCCCACCGCGAATACCGGGCGTTAGAGAAACATAAACGACAGCGGGTAATATTCTATAACACCTTCTTTATAATCCACGAGAATTTGGTGGAATCATCATGTCGCAGTAAAAAGTTACAGCTTAAGAAAGATGCGTTGCGCCGTTTTTTGGCCCTCAATGTTGGTTCCCTTGTGTTGCGTAAAGCCTGGCTGTACTACAGCCGCAGAAATGGCAAGTTCATTTGTTTTGTTAGACTACTATGTCCGTAAGAAAGCAGTTGCGTAGGTTTTTGGGCTACGGTTTTTATTTCTACGGTGGTACCGATCTCAACATTGAAGATCGCCATTTTTTCCAAAATTTTCCCATAAAAAATTTAGTTTTTTTCGAATAAAGCTAAAACCACTAGTACGTGTTCTATTCATAAATACAATGATTCTTAAAAAATCTGTGATTGCTTGTTGGTTGCAACAGCTTTTCTCTAACAAGTTTCTCGCCCAGAACTTCCCCATGGCACGCTGCTTTGAGAAAGACGGGTTATCGATAACAGAATGACAAGATGGATCAAAACGGCGCATTATGTTCCTGTACACTTATGCATACGACTCTTAGGAATCAGCCTAGGGCACTTTCGGTCGTTCTGTGTCACCGGCTCGACCGGTATTCCGCCTTAGGCAAAAATAAGGCAGAATTCTAGTGATTACCAAATAGCATTCCGTAGCAGTTACAAGATGCTTCTCTTTTGCTTTTATGGTGTTCCTTTAATCATGTTCTAGTAACTCGCATTACATTTTGCCTTATCTAACATTAAAACTCCTTCTTACGCTTACATTTTCGAAAAAGGCCGATTTTTGCACTTCAACTGCCTGAAAATACTCGGCTGTAACTTTTGAACCAACGATAGTTAAGCTTCGTATGATAGCTCATTTTAAAGGTCTTATTACAGTAATTAATCACTGCACATCTCAAACTATTCCGAGTTTTCTTTTTTGAGTAAGGCAGCTTTCTTGTAAAATGACCCCACGGGCAGAAGGGTCCGAGTCAACCGGATATATTCATGTCGTTCAAGACAGAAGAGCGTCGTACAACAAAACTATCGGTAAATAAAACTACCCTAACGTGGTACTGTAATATAAATAAGGAGTCACTCATGAATCTTAATAAGTCGCAGAAAAAACGGGAAATCTTTTGTCTCCGTTATTTTGGGTCACCCTGTATATCGGTTATTATCAAGCTATCGGAAAAATAATGAGCACTCTGTCGCTGCGCCGAATCCGTCGCGGAATTGAAAAGCAATTTGATTTTGCCGCGACAAAATTCGTTTCGGTAATGCGATTTTCGATGCGACAGAGTGCTCATTATTTTCCCGACAAAAGGATATTACTCAAAAACATAAATTTTCATAAATCGATAAGTTGTTTTATGAGGTATTTTCAATCATTTTTACATTTCAAATCTTGTTTTACATATTCAATTTCTATCCATTATCACGACGCATGATACACATTTTCTCTGTTCTTCTGGCCATCCTGCAGTCTCTCCTCCATTTCAACGCCCTCATTATTTGGCCTGTATCTTCTTCCGCAGCAATTATAGCCTTTTTTGTCGTCCGGGACGTAGAACTTGAAGCAGAGGATGTGCAAGTAGCGCACATCCAGGTCCGGGTCGTATTCGACGAAAAAAAAGCTGATCGACATCACGATCCCCACGATTCCGAAGATCGTACAGAAAACAAACGCAAACCATGAGCCCACGATTTCACTTTGTTGCTCGCTTTCACACTGCTCCTTGGCCTCGGAATAGGTCAGGTTTTTGGCCTCTTCCTTCATCAGAGTGACGTTTTTGGCTTCGTTGATCGCCTCTTTGACGCATTTTTCCCTGAAATTGGAAAAGTGGAAAATAAAGAAAACTTTTGCGATCAGCAGAAAAATTTTTCTTTATTATAGTATATTTTTAAGCGTACTATCGGTCTGTCGGGAAAATAATGTGGATTCGTCACACTTTGACAAGGCGACGATGAGCCGACGCCCAAGGACGAAGAAACGAAAACCCCGTTAAAGTTCTGACACGCGAGAGAGCAGTTCTTCGCAATCACAACGATACCACAATCATGGCTTAAGACCCTCTGGCATATGAGTTACAAACGTGTGGAAAGAAAATTTTGCCATCCGGTTTTTTGCCTTTTTCAAAAAAAGGCATGTAAAGTGTCAATCAAATGAAACGATTTTTTGGGTATGGTGTTACACTGTTCCACAGTGTTTCTTTGCCCAATTTCAAGGTTCTAGGGCCAGCAGCGATTCCTTCCGTTCGCACCGATATCATTTGTCGGGAAAATAATGTGCATATAAAATCGAAAATCACACCGCAGTCGAGAAAAATGAATTCTGTCGCAACAAAATCAAATTGCTTTTCACTTCAGCAGCGCGATCAGCGCAGCGACATTATGCTCATTATTTTCCCGACAGACTAATTTTATATCCAAAACAAGTCTTGAGAATTTTCGACGAGGGGATACAGTGCTCTCTGTTTCTGTTGCACCCCTTTTTTTGAATTGTCGGAGAAATCGGAATCGCGTAGTGCAAAAAAAAATACAAGAATCGTACAAAATGGTGTTTTGGGGTCAAAAAATAGGTTTGCATTTAGAACTTACAGCGCCAATTGCCTGGAGGCGAGACTCATAAACACAAATCCGCTTCCTCCGCCGTAGAATCGACCTCTGGAAGAAATATGTTAACAGTGGAAGGAACGTGTGACACTTAGATTTTGATAAAAATTGGGACAAGATTACATTCTTTTTTTTTCACAAAACATGCGAAAATTTCGACGAAGGCCTAAATCATCGAATGGACGTATGAACTTACCCGGCGCTGACACCACCCATACCACCGCGGCCCCCACCACCTCGCGCACCACTAAATCCTCGGCCACCGCCACCCATACCACCCTTGGCTAGAACTTTATGGACAAACAGAGGCAGGAGGAGATAAAATACCCGTTGGATCAGCATCTAAAAACAATTTTTTTTAAAATTATTTTTATGAGACTGTGTGGAAAATAATGTTGATTTGTCGCGCTCTAAATATCGCCTATCCGCGGCTGGAAATTGGTTGCGACGAATCAAAACCTTTTGCTCCAACGAATCCTCATTATTTTCCCGACAGACTGACAATTCGTCAAGAAAATATTTAAACTCCTAGCATCGCATATATCCGTTAAAAATCTCATATGCTTCAAAATAGTTGAAAAATAAAAAAAGAAAACGAAAAAAGTGTCTCCTATTGATTTGCGGAGCGCATTGCCAACCCGCGCGTCATCCGCACTCTTGCGCGAAAAAGTGCCGAAATAAGCGGAGTTTTGTGAGGGATATTGCGAGGAATGTAATGGGGGAGGATTTTTGTATAACGGCTGCTTTTTCCATCCGCTACCCAAATGACATACATTGTATAAAAGAGAAAGAGCTATGTTTTTGTTTCAACGCAATTTTTTAGCTCACTTTTTGGAAGTATCAGTCTGTCGGGAAAATAATGACCTTTTTTCGAATCTTTGCATCAAAAGTTGCACGACTATATTTTCCGTAGAGGACAATGGTTCACAAAATAAATCTATTTTTTTTTGCTATAGCAGAACGCCGCGCTGCATCGCAAATCTCGTCGAGCATCTTGGCCGCTCCTGTAACGCGCGAGCTAGAATTTTCAGAAGTTATTACATGGCCTCATGAGTGCGAAATTTAACGGATAACCGAGATTTGAGAGATAGAAGGCTGTCCTCTATGACTTAGTCGGGGAAGTATTAATATGGATTCTTTGCATTGCAATCCCCGTTATCATTTTTGCGACGGCCAACCGGTGTAAGAAATTTGTTCCACGACTGCGGGACATTTTGCCGCGACAAATCCACATTATTTTCCCGACAGACTGATATTATATCTAAGTTTTGGCAAGTCAAAAAGCATTTCTTTACAAATTCCGGGCATTACCATAATTTTATTAACATAAAGGTGATAAAAAACAACGATAAATTGCTCTTGATGTCATTGCTGTCATTAGGATTCTCTTCCGTCGTGTTGGATGGTCCTGCAGTTGTTGTTAGGTCATCTACTTCTTCGCTACTCTCACTACTTTCACTACCCTCAGTACTGCTCTCACTCCTCTCATTATCTCTCTCTGTAGCCTTGTATTCGACCGTTGAACTTGCGGGCAAAGCACTTTCAGTGGTATTAACAATCATCTCAGCAGCTTTTTCAGTCACCTTGTAGGCGGCATCGCTTACTGTTGACGTTACAGCCGGCAAAGTTGAGGTTTCCTCAACGTCTTTACAATAGCCACAAGCTTTCGGGCAGTAATAAGAAGCCTGCGGTTGCAATCTTTGGCACATTCCGAACTCCTTCCACATCCCACAACCATACAGACGATCTTCACATACATAGCAATTAAACCCGCAGGTTTGTGGGCAATTTTGTCGCATAAAGTTTTCATGAATATAGCAAGAATAAATCATCATTGGACAAGTCGCCATACGGTCCTGGCAATGCGCAGTGACAGTAGAAGCAATAAAAATTGGAAATATTGAAAACACAATGAACAAATTCATTTTGAAATTTGAAAAAACACGGATAAAATCGCAATTTGAAGCTTTATATGAAAGGGAGAGGCAAGTTTAGTCATTACAGGTGTCCAAACAACGATCTCGCTGATTGCCCAACGTTTCCGCTGGCGGTTTTAAACTAAAACTTTGACAACAGGGACGTTCGAATCTTTGAATGATCTTGCATTGATATTTAAATACACATGTATATGTACGTAGGTGCCAGAGGCTGAAAAATATTTGTATTTGCGATGGACAAAAACACAGTGAAGAAGAAAAAATGAAAAAAAACCGACCTCTTTAATCCCGAGGTTTTGTGTATCAGTCTGTCGGTGTGTCGGGAAAATAATGAGTGCAATGTCGCTGCGCCAATCTCGTAACTAACGTGAAATTTTTGATTTTGCTGCGACACAATTCGGTTTCTCGACGGTGATTTGTTCTGCTCATTATTTCTCCGACAGAGGGCAAGCTAAAATTTAGTCGATTTCCCCAAAAATTAAAGCACGCGTACTTTACAATTTTTTTTCAGGACGGGTTTTTGCAACGCGGTATCGAAAATAGGCTTGGTGATAGCTGAAACCGTCAGCTTCATTCTAAATTTTGAAGGGTGTTCCTAGACCAACTGAGAAAAAAGTTGTGGCCAAAATACTGCCGCCAACCGCGGTTTTGGACGTAAAAAGTCAGTGCCGCAGAAGTAGGCTACTTCTGCTTTTCGTCCGGTTTCTTTCGCTCAAAAACGCGTCTTCGACGCTCTCTCGCTCCCCCTTATTTCTCATTTATTTATTTTTATGTTAGTGAAACAGGCCCCAGGTCACACACGTATGGTAAAAATTGTTTTATTATAGCTTTTGTCGTTTTTGAATATGGAGATTCAGAATATACCGGTCTCATGGCTCAACTCATCTTCGATCATCTGCGATTTGAAAGCTTTGCTTATAATATAAATAAACATGTATACAGGGCAGAGGCTGGCCAATTTGACCTTCCGAAGAACAAAGACATAGCTAACAGTAAGAAAAAAAATCGACGGCTTCTGAAGCAAAAGCTCCAGTTGATAAAATCAACAAAAAAAAATCATGATGGAATCGAAGTGACAATGCTACAGTAAAAAAAATTTTTTTTGCTGAAATGAGATAGTCATCGCATGCTGTAGTTTTAAGTATCTGAAAATGGGAAAAAACAGGCAAATTTGGGGATTTTTCAATCTGAAAATTTCGGGGGTTTCTTGAAAGATGCGATCTAAAATACTCGTATCAGCCTGCGGGAAAATAATGTGGATTCGTCGCACCGTGGAATCACCCAACGCCTTGCACCGGCTAGCCGCAATTTTGTGACAAGGTGAGAAATTTTTCTACGACAAATCCACATTATTTTTCCGACAGACCGACATGTTTTGCTTTCCAATTAACTTTATTGACTTTCTAATTTTCTCCAATCTTGTTAGCGGTTGAATTTATGACCTTTAATCACACAAGAAACCCAAATTTTTCTCTCCACGCTCGAAGTTTTTTATCTCTTCTCCTTCGGACAACAGAAAGAGCAGAATGAGTGGCAGTTTCAGCGGTTTTTTTCGAACTTTTTGACCCCTGGTTTTTGATGTTCTAGCGGTTTGACCACCACAATTTTCGAGTGCTAACTCGATTTTGACTTTTTCTCGTGTCTCTGAGAAACCGATTTTCATAAAATATCTTTTTTTTTTCTTTATTTGAGCGGTTATTTTCTTTGAGATTTGGTCTGCAAATTTTTTCAGCAATGTCGTTCATCGAGGTCCCGGAGAACTCCGATTTTACTATTCATAATCTACCTTATGGAGTGTTCTCAACAAAAAATTCTGTAAGTTCTGTAGCGGTACCCATTTTGCCGGGTGATGACTTCTCAGGACTTGGTAGTATTGTCGAATATAATATTGGTCTAGGCATTTTATTTCTATCAGCCTGTCGGGAAAATTATGAGGGCTTTGTCGCATCGCACCGCCGCACGTCAAACTGAGGAGTCGGAATAGACTCCTCGCTATCGGTTTTTACACTTCGTCTATTTCGCAGAGAAAGAGAGAAAAAAGACACGCAAGAACGTACTCTCTCGCCCCAAAAATTCCCCATTTCTTCCCCGACAAAACGTTTTTTCGCGTCTTTTTTTGGCAAATTGCCAATCCATTCACCGGACTGTTTTAGCTTATCTCAGTTTGACGTGCGCCGTGGAGAAAATGAATTGTGTCGCGGCAAAGTCAAACTGCGTTCCACTTCAGCGATACGATCGGAGCAGCGACATTGTGCTCATTATTTTCCCGACAGACTGATAATCAAGAAAACGCGCGCTTTGCACACAGTCTACGATTTTCATTTGCAGCAGCAAAGACGAATTGGAGTTGCAATCGGCCAACAAATCTTGGATCTCTCTGCGATCAAGCATCTTTTTACAAGTCCCCAACTCCAAGGCCGTCAAGATGTTTTTTCTCAAGTAATATATTCTTGTTTTAACTATTATACATACATATTTACTGCGTTTCCACCGAATCTTAGACAACTCTCAACGCCTTTATGGCCCTGCCCAGAGCTGCCTGGCTTGAAGCAAGGACTACTTTGCAAAAACTGCTGTCCAAGGATTGCGAAACCCTCCAAAACGATAAAGACTTGAGAGGAAAGGCGTTTGTCAACCAAGCCGATGCTCAGCTGCATTTACCGGTCCAGGTTGGAGATTACACCGACTTTTACTCGTCAATTTATCATGCTACAAATGGGACCAAAATGTTTTTGGGGGTCGATGAGCTTGGAGGGAATTGGTAGGTTATATAGTAAATAAAATGCTAGTAAAATACGTTGACTAATAACCCTTTTTTAAAATTCTGTCGGGAAAATAATGTGGATCCGCCTCGGAATCGTCAAATCATCGCTTCGCGGCGGCTAGCTTCGGCCGGGGATTTGGTGAGCGACTTCGAAGAGACGCGGCGTTTTTTTTTGAGACGAATCCACATTATTTTCCCGACAGCGTGATATCTGAAATTGGGGATTTGAAAATCAGTCCGTCGGGAAAATAACGTGGATTCTTAGCGCCTCCCAATTGCCTGTTATCCTTTGCGACGGCAAGCCGCGGCTGGAGAATGCCGACTGCTTTTGGTACGGCATCTACATCGACCATTTTAGCAATCTGACACTGTCCTTTTTCTTCCCAAGACAGGTTTAATCCAAGACAGGTTATTTAAAATCGGGGTCCCTCTGTCTGACGGTCAAAACAAAGATGGTAATCAATTGATATGGGCATGAAAATCAAAAGACTAGGACAGAAAAACACAGAGAATTTAATGGTATGAAAAATATTTTCCCACACCTAAAAGTTTTCGCGGCAGGACCCATGAAAAGAGTTGCATTTATTATTTGTCACCCTCTATTATTTTCCCGACAGATTGATAATTCAACATGTCGCATTTTAGTTGCCGTAAACAATCTAGAACTTACGGTTAAATTTTTACAGGAAGCATTTGCCAACAGCCTACAACGGAAGGGCTTCCAGCATCGTTGCGTCGGGAACTAATATTCGCCGGCCAAGAGGACAGTACAAAGAAAACAAAGGTAGGTTTTTCTCCACGTATCCATCAACTTGTTCAGATCTCCCACCAACCTTTGGGCCCACCAAACAGCTCGACTACGAGCTTGAGATGGCATTTCTGGTCGGCGGTCCACCAACCCAATTTGGTGAACCGATAGCTGTCGAAAACGCGGAGGATCATATTTTTGGAATGGTCATTCTGAACGACTGGAGCTCCAGAGATGTTCAGAAATGGGAAATGACTCCGTTGGGCCCATTTTTGGGCAAATCGTTTGGAACTTCGATCAGCCCATGGGTTGTAACTATGGAAGCGCTGAAGCCATTTGTCGTCGACAATCCAAAGCAGGATCCAGAGCCACTGCCTTATCTAAGACATTGCGATCCATATAGCTTTGATATCAACGTTGAGGTAGGAAGATATCATATCGTATGTAAAAAATTACATATGTCATCATCATTATAACAGCCAAATTTATTTGATTTTTCTTGACCCGGGGATTACAATGGCTAGCATTTTTGAGTTAAGAACTCTGTCAAGTTCCAGATACTTGAAATTTAAAAAAAAATCGCACCCTGACTTTTCCTGTATGCTGCGACAGCTAAAAATCGCTCCCAAATTTTTAACGCCCCAAACATGAGCTTGAACTTGAACGTTTGGCCTTTTTGGAACACTGTTCCTGATAACACATTCATATTTGTATTTTCTAGGCGTCAATCAAGCCTAACGGCTCCGATGTTTTCTATCCTGTCTCAAAGACCTCATTCCGTCATCATTATTGGACGATGAAACAACAGTTGGCACATCACACTGTAAATGGTTGTAATGTGAATCCGGGAGACCTGATGGGCTCGGGAACTGTTTCTGGCCCCACGGACGGTGAACTCGGCTGCATGCTGGAGCTGAATTGGAACTGCTCCAGATGGGTTCGGCTGGGAGATCAGAAGAGGCATTATTTGGAGGATGGCGATGAGGTTGTTATGAGAGGTAAGGTTTAAAAGTGGTTTGGCGCATGTAGAAAATAACCCTTGTTAGATTGTCGGGAAAATAGTGAGCGCAATGTCGCTGCGCCAATCGCGTCGCTGAAGTGAAAAGCAATTTGATTTTTCCGCGACACAATTCATTTTCTCGACGGCGATGTAATTTTTGCTGCGAGAGAGTGCTTATTAATTTTCCGACAGGACCAATCCCTGAAAGCTGAGGAAAACCTAGCTGGCGAGAAACAGTTTGTGCTTAAAATTATTTCGCTTTTGCCCGGAAAATTTTATTTTTATGGCAGCTTTGGCGATGCAATTTCCGATGCGACAGAGCGATCCCTATTTTACCGACAAAGTTATAATAGAAGGCTAATAGGGCTGTTTTAAATATCTGTCTGTCGGGAAAATAATCGGGACTTGTTGCGCCTTGGAATCGCCCATCATCGCTTAGTGACGGCTAGCCGCAGCTGGAGATTTGTCGCGTGATAGCACCCTTTTTTCGACGAGGCGAAGCATTCTTTGCGCCGTTCTGCCACTATCAGTCTGTCGGGAAAATAACGGCGGATCGTCGCGCTTCGGAATCGTCCATCATCGCTTTGCGCGGCCGCAGCTGAAGATTTGGTGCGCGACAGCGGTGAGACGAAACATTTTGATGCGACGACTCGCCGTTATTTTCCCGACAGACTGATATTTTCCCGACAAACTGATAGTCCGTTTGCAAAGTCGTTTGAGTGGCTTCTACGACATGCACCGTACAGAAAAAGTCAGGGTACAAGCGACAGCAAAAAAAACCTACTGCACGGTGCAAAAAGGACAAAGCTGCACAGTGCAAGGAAAACGCGAAAAAAACTTGTCGCACGGCGTTGAATAAAGCTTACGGTGCACGCAGACCACAGTGCGAACTTAGATGTTTTTAAAGGGCAATTAAGATCATTTAAAGGGCAATTAAGTGCACTTTTTATTCGCTTTATGCTGATAGTTTGTCGCACAAAGCTGCCTCGCGATTCCGACTGCATCGTGCGAAAACGGCCGAGACTTTTTGGTCCTCCTCGTACCGTAGCTTCTTCGGCAATAACAAACCCGGGTTTTTGTGGGGCCCATTTATTGACGTCACAACCCACGGAAGACGTAAACAGCCGCCACAACGAACCCGCAATTTCCGTCAACACTGACGTGAAATAACTCTATTTCGTACTGCAAAAAAGTTCGTTTACTGCAAAAAAGTTTGAAGATTTGGTGAAAAGACGCAAAAATTTGCGGACAAACTTAACGTTTTGTTACACCCATGATTACAGCCATTACGCATAGCTTCAAGTTGCTAGCTTTTTATTATGCCGTTATAAAATTTTGATGTGGTCATGGGTTTGTAGAGTGTAATGTAAAGGACGTCCATTTTGATTTATACAGGGTGTCCCAAAAAAAATGCATGTTGTTTTTATGGCTACATTTTATATACCAAACAAAATTTAGCCAAACTAACGATGGATATCAGTAACATAGAGGATTATTGATAACATATCAAGCCAGTTTTACAGTGGCTGCCCTTGGTGGCGATATAGAGCTTCAAACGTAACTTAAAATTTTGGGCTCGGGGCCGCAGCCTTTTTCGAGGAAATCGGTCCCGTTCTTGGCGCAACGATTACTTTGCCATTCCAAACTTTTGTGGTGTGAAGTACAGGCAATGGCCTCCAATTGAAAAAAAAATATAGTCAATCGGATTCAGATCCGGCGAGCAGACGGCCATTTTGCGGACGGGGTGAAATCGGGAAAATCGTTCCCATTTCGGGTCCTGAGTCGATTTTGCCTTGTGAGCCGGAGCTGAGTCTAGCAAGAACGCCAAATTTGCATTGCCGAGGTTCTGCTAGGTCAACAGAAGTATGGGAAAATCAAGATTAACGCGGCGCTAAAATTTTGCCCCCTTGATCCGAGAAAACCATGGAATTCTTGCCGCTGGGAGAAATTCCGCCTTAGGCGATGACGGCCCGGATTTTGACGGTTTTCGACGTTAGCCGACATGCCGAGGGCCTCATCTAAGAAGATCCAATTGCTCTGGTGATTGTGCATCCGCCAAATGTTGAACCACGAACGAATGCGCTCACGTCTGTGAGTTGCGGCCCAGCCCTTGAGTTTTCGACATTTTTCGCGCCGCACGCACTTGCCGTCTACTTTAAAGATCTGAGCTTTTTACACCTTATACAGCGTGAGGCGTAGCTCATCATAGACTATTTGGGTGACCGATCGGTCGCTGATGCTGATCTCACAGGCAAATTTTTCTTGAAAATAGCGCTTTGCTGTTGGTGATCTCCCGGTTGACAGAACCGCTGGCGGTGCATTTTCTTTTACGTCCTGGACGCTTACTATCGTTATCAAGCTCCTTACATCGCGTGATTACTTTTGACACAACGTCCTTTCTATACTGGGCAAATTTACAACTTGAACGGCTCAAAAATAGTGACAAAATCGCAGTTCCTTTGTTTGACATTTTAAAAAACCATGCCACTTAATCGATATGAACACAAAACTGAAATGACTAGGGCAGAAAAACACGGAGATTTTAGCAGTACAAAAATCTTTTGGCCTGACCTAAACATTTTCGCGTCAGGACCCATGGAAAAAAACATGCATTTTTTTTGGGACACCCTGTAATGAACCTGAAGCCTTTCTAAAACCAAAAATAATTCTAGAGTTGAGTTACTTTTGCGCAAAAAATCTTTTGTGGTCTTTTTACAGAGTTTTGGCGGCACTTTCCATTATCAGTCTGGTGGGAAAATAATGTGGATTGACCGGAACAAAATGTCAGGTATTGCCGCGGTCCCGCATCAAATCCCCGGACGCGGCTAGCCGTAGCAGAAGAAACTAGGACGATTGGGGAAACCAAAAAGTATTATTATTTTTCTTCGATGAAAATGTCGGAATTAGGGCAATCGATGGTGCTGATTTCGAAAGTCATGTTAACTTTTGCTCAAGTACTACATAGTACTATCTGATACTATGTAGTACGAGGTGAAAATATGGCGTTTGACGTTAATGGTGTTTTTTTGATGTTTAGTACTCTTCAAAAACACGTTTTAAAATCTTGGTACTATTTAGTACTACCTGATACTATGTAGTACGAGGTATACTTTTTGGCTTCTCAATCGTACTTTTTCCAATTGCCTTTTTCCCCAATCGTCCCTTTCCCCAATCATCTTTTTCCCCAATCGTCCAGCTCCGGTAGCAAAGCGATGATGCGAGATTCCAAGGCGCGAGCAATCCACATTATTTTCCCGACAGAGCCAGCATAATACAGCAAAAACGTAGGCGGGCCAAAAAGCCAGGCTTGACCTGTTTTTGTATTGTGCGAGCGTATGCATTCGGCGTTGCGACGAGGAGTTGCGCGAAAAAAACGCGGGGTGCTAAAAACGAGCGCACTATGGTTTGATTGCTCTTTTCAAGACGACTTTTTTTTCACTGTGCGGGGACGCATTGCACCGTAAATTTTTCTTGTCGCCGCGCGACAAATTTCATGCACGGCGGCGCTCTGTGCAGACATGTCAAGTCTTACTGGCCCACCTAGTACCATTATACACTTTCTTAAAGATGCACCTTTGAAAAAGCACGCTTAATTAAGCGTAGTACGCACATTTCAATAGAAATTTCAATAAAAGATTTTTTCAGCCCACTGCGAGAAGAACGGTGTCCACGTTGGCTTTGGCGAATGCCGCGGCAAAGTCCTCCCGGCATTACCGTAGTCCGCCCACCCAACACATCGTGTCTACCAGTTTGTCGGGAAAACAATGAGCACAACGTCGCTGCGTCGATCGTGTCGCTGAAGTAGAAAAAGCCTTGATCTTTGGACACAATTCTTTTTCTCGGCGATGATGCGATTTTCGTTGCGACAGAGTGCTCATTATTTTCCCGACAGACTGATATTTCATTATTACTATATCGCATTTATCGCAAATTAAAATATTATCAATCTGTCGGGAAAATAATGAGCTCAATGTCGTTGGGGCGATCTTATCGCTGAAACCCAAAGAATTTGATTTTGTCGCGACACGATTTAATTTTGTGTCGGCGATGCGATTTTCGATGCGACAGAGTGCTCATTATTTTCCCGACAGACTGTTATTTCATTATTATTACTATTTCATAGCAATACCATGGAATAAATGATCCGTTATTCGCTCTCCCACTTGATTCTTTATTCCCATTGGAACGTATAGAGCATATAGTTATGTAAACAATGACATGCCGCTGAATACGTGAGCGTAATCTTACTCCTTCTGTAATGCGAGGGTTGTTTTTTGGGTGGGACAAAAGTTTTGGCGGCCTTGTTTTGGTATCCCCGTTCGTTCTTTTTATATATCTTTTGCAAATGCATGCACGTCCCTTAGGTTATAATTTAATATGTATTTCTGAGCTTTTGAGTTGTATCGAGTGTGCTTTTGGGGTTGCGAAAATACGTTGTTTAGTGCTCAGGGGTTGGTTTTATTTACAGCCGAACCGTATCTGCGGTAGTGAATTCAAAGCCAAGGGAAAAGATTCATAATTCGTTACAGAAGGATTTTGTGGTAGGTGGGTTCTTTTATAGACAAAAATTGAGTCGCGGGATCTCTGAAATAGTTTTTTTTTTCTTTTTTTTCGCACAATGCATTTTGAATTTTTTCCCACGCCTGTCGCCTGTGGATTTTTCAGTTTGTGCACCGTGCGAACCTCAAAAAAAGCGCGTTCGGACTTTTCGGGTCGACGACAGTTCGGGTCGACATAAAATTGATCGATACAGGATGTAGCGCGGGTGGATTCCCAAAAAAAAGGTTGTAGAAAGTGCCTTCCAGGCTTGACAAAGCCGCTGGATGGTCGGCGGAGACTTGGCGAAGGCTCGGCGGAGGCTTGGCGAAGAGCTGCAATGTATCCACTTTTATTTTTTATCTTTAAAATTAACGTGAGTTTTCTTTTCCCTGGGTTATTGTAACATTTAAAAAGCAAAAATTCGCGCCAAAAAAAGAAGATCCATAACTTTTATCTAAATATTATTGATGTGAGCAGATGTAAAATACTTCAAAATCGGTGATAAGCCCCTAGAACCCGATGAATTTTATTATTTTTACCAACAGGGGGAGGTACCCCAAGAGCGACGCTCAGATTTTGATGAACTTGGCACAAGTTTAGAACAACTTTTTCTAAAATATATGCGAGACTCCTAGCTCGCGTTTTGCGTAAATAATCGAGATTTTTAGATCGAAAGTCGTCGAAAATTTGACATTTTTTGCTAGTCTCCCCTATACATAAAATGACGAACCGACGCGGTCCATAGCATCGTTCATCCAAACTGTCGCTGATTTAAATAGTCGAACCGAAAAAATGAAATGCACGGTGCAAGATGGAGTTTTTTGCGCACGGTGCGGGTCGTGACAAATATCGATTCATTTTATGAAAATACAATCAGTCTGTCGGGAAAATAATGAACACAATATTGCCGCGCTAATCGCGTCGCTAAAGTGAAAACAACTTGATTTTCTCGCGACACGATTAATTTTCCCGGCGGAGACGCGATTTTCGATGCGACAGAGCGCTCATTATTTTCCCGACAAACTGATGGTACCACTTAACCAGTCTGTTCTTACCATATTCTTTGCAAACATGTTGAAAGTTTTTCGGTCTTCCGGCAACGTCTCGCGGCGCCTTTTTTTGACATTAATTTCTCGTTAATAAGACGTCATTCGGGGTTCCTCTTCCGGCGGATCCCTTTAGTTCTGAGCCAACAGACCGAAGTGCACATTTGGACGTGACTACCGGGCAAATCATATTTTAGCTCACTTGCTACGAAAGGAACGGCTGAGGACCGGATTTTAAGGTTTTCGGGGTCGGTGAGCAGAAATAAAGGCCGGATTCGCGGCGTTCTTTGGGCTGTAGATAGGGAAGTTTATATAAGCGACATATTGAAGTTTTTCCTTAGAGTTTCCTCAAACATTGGCCGGTGCAACGATCATAGTTTTTCTAAATTTTGTATGCAGTACCGCAGGCCATTTACTACGCCGTTTCATAAGTGCGTAGATTTTTTGTCGCAAGCTTTCCGCACTGTGCATTTTACCTTTCCGCCGCGAAAAAAGGGTCTACGCACTTCTGAAAGTGCGTGGTAGCAGTCCGTCGGGAAAATAATGTGGATTCATCGCTCCATTAATCGTCCCGACGGCTAGTCGCGCCTGGAGACTTGGGCGCCTGCGACGAGGCATTTTCAGCGAAAAAACAACATTATTTTCCCGACAGACTGATACTACGCCTTTTTTGACTCTTTAAAATTTTGTTTCGCGCTTTACATGTTCGATCAAGATTTTCAACGCTCGTTACAAAAGGCTTTTACGAGCAATCCTATGGTTGGCCCGGAAAATAATCAGCACTCCATCGCATTGAAAGCGATCCATTTCTTCGAAATAAAGAGGGAGGACTTGGGCACAACAGCGGAAATAAGAGGTCAATGACGGAAATGAGTTAGAACAGTGGCGAATATTGCTAAAAACGGGTAGGGCCATTTAAAAAAGGGCGCGCTTTGCGCAGGATTTGTTTTATTTCAATATCTTCTACAAATTAATTTCGAGTGGTCGAAACACTTGGTAAAAGGTCGTGGAGTACATGTGTTTCCAAACAGAACCAAGTGGTTTCAATACAAAAGTTGTATTGAGTAGAACATGTCGGATTTCAATGAGTTTTAGTGAGTTGTGAAATTTTTAAAGGCTGTTGATGAGGTTCGCAAAATTATCAACAAACTAAAATTGATATTTTTGGGAGTTTTTTTTGTGTGTTCTAGACGTATGTTAGGGAGTTTATACTGTAGTAACACCTCTCTAAAATGAGCTAGATCACTCCTGTAGCATGCACGATAAAGAAGATAGGTTGTGAAAAAGTATGTTGCATACGAGGGTGCTTTCCCTGTAAGCCCCCATTGTACGGTCTAGTGCGTCAAGCAAATCATTGTCTAAAATCCTGCAAAATCCAGTAGACTGGATAGTCTGTCGGGAAAATAATGAGCACTCTGTCGCATCGAAAATTGCATCGCTGCCGAGAAAATGAACTGTGTCGCGATAAAATCAAATTCTTCCATTTCAGCGACACAATCGACGCAACGGCATTTGTTCATTATTTTCCCGACAGACTGATATTGTTGATAATTTTTGGTCGAAATTGCCACAATGATGCCATTCGTTCGGAAGTGTTGAAAACATAATTGGTTTTCTGAACGGCTCATTGGGAATTCCGTTCGTGTTAGAGCTTCCAAAACTTGTTGGTTAGTCCATTAAAAGTTGTTTGGCAAAGTTGGAAATTGGAAATTGACGTTCGTCCCGCTACCGTAGCCCCCCGTTTCTACCCCGCATAAAAGTGCAGTGCCGAATGCAGTTAAAGTTTTAAGGCCGTAAAAAAAAGTTGCGTCACATTTCTAAAGCCGCGAAAATCTTTTTTTCACTTACTCACTGATCCCTTCCTTATCACCCATTTTACTGCCAAATAAAGTTGACGCGTTTATTGGGCAAAAGTTTCACTGGCTCCACCTTGAAATGAGCCACAATCCCAAGGCGGCGATTAATTGAATTCGTCAAAATTTTGACGTGAAGCCGAGCCGCAATTTGCGAGAAGGGGCATAAAAAGCGGCGAAATTTGCGAACGCATTCATTTGACATGGCCACGCGTCATCACCATGCAACTTCACCTACAGCGAGAAAGCGGATTAATTGTTTTTTGGTGGGTTCGCATTTTTATTTTGGAAGGATGGAACGGGCATCTGGAATTGCCCATTTTCCCACACCCGCAATGCCGGAAGTCTCGGGGATTGCGAGGGATGAGACGGTCGAATTTTTTAAAATTTGCATGCCGCTAAGTCGGTCTGCAAGTCGCTGGAGTGATTTTTGGCGTATACACTGCGTGAAAACCAAATTTTACCTGCGATTTGCAATTTCTTCTCTTTCTACCTTTTCAGGCTGTCCCTCGCTGGCTTTATTCTGTACAGTTCTAGCGACTTTGCCAACATGCTGGTATTATCAGTCAGTCGGGAAAATAATGGAAACTTATTGCGGTTTAAAATGACCCATGATCGCTTTGCGACGGCTAGCCGCAGCTGGAGATTTGCGACGCTGCTGCAACAAAGCGAGGCATTTTGCTGCGACAAATTCACATTATTTTCCGGCTGATTGATACCAGTACGTTGGCAAAGATAAGATTTTGCCTGCAGACTTCTGAACTTGTAATATACCAGTCTGTCGAGAAAATAATAGACACTCTGTCGCATCGAAAATCGCATCGCCGTCGAGAAAATTAATTGTGCCATGGAGAAAATCAAATGGGCCTTTACCTTGACTCCGAACTAACTTTTCAAAATCACCATGTAAAAACCAGTAGAAACTGCTCCAAAACGATTTATGCGATCCGAAGAGCACGGGAACACCTTTCAGTTAAACACTGTACCCTGTTGGTCGAAAGTCTGATAATATCCCGCATCCGCACTTTTCTGCCACTAACTATGGTATCTGCAAACGTGCACCAAGAACATTACTCAAAAATCATCAGATCGTCACTCAGAGTTGTATATTCCGAAAAGAAACATGCTGATGTATCTCATCTCACAGAAAAACATCCCTGGGGGTCACTCCCTGATCTCGCCACCACAGAGTTTGCCCAACTTATAAACAAAGTCAGAAATCAACAAACAAGTGAGTACCTTAATGGTCAACTTGTATTAAAACAGGACCGCTATCGCCTGAGGCGACAGAGGTTCGAAACACCTTTCTGTAAAACCAATATAGGACAAAAAACATTTAAATTTCGTGCCAGTACTGTGTCTAACCAATCCTAACCGATTCACCACCGAACCGGACGATCATGGCGCACAGGCAATTTGTCTAGCGCAATAAAGTTGAAAGTTGAAAGTTGAAATTTCTTTTCAATTCAGCGACAGGTCGGCGCAGCCACATTGCGCAAGGAATTCCGTAAAACGGCTGCTTTTTCCATCCGCTACCAAATTTGAAATGGCTTTATTTTTGTTACAACGCAACTTTTTTCAGTCTGTCGGGAAAATAACGGCGGATCGTCGCATCAAAATGTCGCGCCTCACCGCAATCGCGCACCAAATCTCCAGTTTCGGCAGCCGTCGCAAAGCGATGATGGGCGATTCCGAGGCGCGACGATCCGCCGTTATTTTTCCGACAGACTGGTAGTTGTAAAATAACAGCTTAATACACTTTCTTGGTGCAAAAATTTTTGTCGTTGAAAGCCTTGGGGCATGCACACAAGCAGAGATTGCCACGTCTCCGGAGCCGGCTCTTGGCTCCGGCTCCGAGCCGGGAGCCAGAGCTGGAGCCGGAAATTTTGGGGTCGGCTCCGGCTCCCGAGCCCAAAGTCGGAGCCAGGCTTCCCAGCGGTCAGAAAAGTAAAAATTTCGTGATATTGTTGAACCAAATTGCCTGAAAAACACTGAGGAGGATGTGAGCTGACTGCAAAAACGTTGGCTGTATGATCTCTGGCGCCAATAACTTTTATTTTTGGAAAAATATTTTTAAAAAAAATTGCATTGGAGCCGGGATTCGGAGGATTTTTTGAATTTTGCACGGAGCCAAGAGCCGCAGCCGGAGCTGCAAATTTGGCCTCGGCTCCGGCTCTGGGAGCTAAGAGCCGGAGCCGAAATTTCGACCGTGGCAATCTCTGCACACAAGTCGTTAAAATTTTCAGTGCGCATTATATAGGGAGAGCCGAGAAATCAGTCTGTCGGGAAAGTAATGAGCACAATGTCGCTGCGCCAATCAGTGAAAAACAAGTTGATTTCCTCGCGACACGATTCATTTTCTCGGCGGCGATGCTATTTTCGATGCGACAGAGTGCTCGTTATTTTCCCGACCGACTGACAAACACTGTAAGCGGCGTATGCAAATCAGCCCTCGAAAATTGCAAATAGCCCTCGTGACTTTTGTTTTTCAATTTTTATTTTTATTTTTACATCAAGTTACACACATTTCTTGCGACATTTTTCTCTGGCTTCTTCTCCGCCAAATTAATTATTTATAATTTGAATCTCGTTAGCCTACATTTCACGCTCTCCAGGTGCAAAAAATTACGGCATTCCTGGAGGCGTGTCTTTCTCATAACGCAGTAATTCCTGGTTCTGGAGTTCCATAACATTAACACAGACCGGTGGATTTGACAGGTTCAGTTCGTTCCGTCTTGGAATTGTGTTAAAATTTGTTTTTCGGAATTCAATTACGGTAGTTTAATTAAAAAATTTTGACTTGCTGTTGAATTATGTTTTCTCCGGTTTGCCGATTTGGGAGGGTTCCTTGTTATTTGCTAGCCTTTCGAAAAGCCGCTGGATTGATTTCAGCGCTTGTCTGAGAATTAGGTTTTATTGGACAAATTGAGTTAGTTATCCGGTTTTGCAGGGTCTTCGGGAAATTTTGTAAATTGCTGAAGATTGTTTTAGCGGGAAAATAATGGCTTCGTTGCCTTGAAAATCACACCGCCGCCGAGAAAATGAATATCAATTCCTGAAAGTTTTAGCTCGCGCATTGCAGCGGCAGCTGAAAGAGCTGACCGTCTTTCTGGCCTAGAGAAAACACATAACACGAAGAGCGAAAAAGACTTTTGGCCCTGTCTTTGCTAACACACGATTTGCGAGCAGCTGAAACATTAGCGGGCAGCTGAGGCACTTGCGGACAGCCTGGGACCCTTGCGGGCAACCGACACTTGCGGGCAGCCGACATTTGCGGGCAACCGGCACCTGAGGGTAACAGGGTGGAGGTGGAAATATTACTGCGATATTTTGGAAATTTGCCGACATTTGCGGGCAGCCGACATTTGCGGGCAACAGGAAAAAACAATCACACAGACTGTATAGGAACTTTTGGGACTGTTGCCCGCAAATGTCGGTTTCCCGCAAGTATTGCCTGCCCGCAAATGTCGGAAAACTTCCAAAATATCGAAGTAATTTTTTTTGCCGGTTGCCCGCAAATGTCGGCTGCCCGCAAATCTTCCAGGCTGCCCGCAACTGTCGACCCTGCCCGCAAATGTCCGAGGCTGCCCGCAAATGCCGGTGCTGGCCGCAAATGTCGGCTGCCCGCAAAGTGGCAAAAGGTTTGCCCGCAAAGTGGTTGCCCGCAAAGTGGGGTTGCCCGCAAGTGTGCGCCCGCCCCAGCGACATCTTTACGGCCTTGGCGCAGCGAAAATTACCTCGGTCCCTCGTCACCATTTTTGTCGCGGCCTGAGAGGGGTGATTTGCCTTTTCGTCACAAGCAAAATATATGTCGTAAAATTGTTTTCGATCGGCATCATCAGTCTGTCGGGAAAATAATGACCGCCCGTCGCATCGAAAATCATACGCCGAGAAAATGAATTGCGTGGCGGCAATGTCAACCCGCATTGAACGCCAAAAATAAAAGTGCTTTGCCAATTTTTCCAATAAATTATTGAACGAAATGCCACTTCGATGATGAGAATTTCCGGCTTGAGGTGCATTACCTTTTTTTGCGAGTTAGCTAGAAGCTTTTCGGTTTCCGGCCAAAAAGAGATTATATGTAGTTTTTTTGGCATTACATCACAAATCCATCAAGCAGACAAGCTCCATTAAAAGTCGTGGGAACAGCGTCTCGGAGGGCGCTTTTAATTGTCATCTTTGGCATTTACCTACTTATAACTTATGTTTATTGCCTTGAACTTTGATTCATCAAAATATTTACATTTTCATAAAGTGCGTGGAGATTTATTTGTTCTCTTCCGCATAGTGGATTTTAAACTTTTCCCAAGCATGTCGCCAAGGCAAACTGAAATTTTTTCCTTTTCGCATAGCGCGAACCTCAAGAGAAAAGCAGTTTGCACTATGCAAATTTTTGAGCAAAATCGCGACGGAATTGAAAAAAGCTCACGTCGCGGCGATATTTTCCGCTGCGAAAACCAAAAAAAGTTGAAACGCACGGTGCAAAATATGAGTTTTTTCGTGCACAGTCCTGACCGCCGAAAATGTCCATGCACCGAGAGTACTGTTTAAAGGCTGTCGGGAAAATAACGATCACTATGTCGCATCGAAAATCGCATCGCAAAAAAATGAACCATGTCTCCGGACAGTCATTTTTTCCCTTGAACGACGCGATTGGCGCTGCGACATTGTGCTCATTATTTTCCCGACAGACTGATACTTACTAATGTAATTTTATCGTGGCCAAGTCGCATTAATATCCGTTTCTGGGTTACATATTCCTACTTATTTTCTGCACTTTCAGAGACACAAAATGAAAGCCCTGACCGCAGTGTTTGTGTGGCTTTTCCTCGCGATCACCGTCAGCTACGCGCGGAATGTGGCGGCGTTCGGAGCACGCGGCGCCTTCGGCGACATGGGTGAGCCGATGGTTGTGGATGGGTTGAGCGGATTCGGGGACACCGGTCGCGAAGGCAGGATGTTCGTGATGCAGGACACAAGGGCAGATCCTCGGTGAGTTCGCAGAAGAGTATAGAGATCTACTCAACATACGTAAATAAGATTTTGACAAGATTGGTAGCAGTCTGTCGCAAAAATAATGGGCACTCTGTCGCGTCAAAAGTGGCACTGCAGCCGAGAAAATGAATTGTGTCGTGACAAAATCAAATTGATTTTTACTTCAGCGACACAATCGGCGCAGCGAGATTGTGTTCATTATTTCCCGAAAGGCTCGCGAAGGCAAATTCTAACCGCTAAGGAAGTCTTTAGAAAGCGGCGCTTAGTGGGTCGACAATACCTTGAGGTGCTCCAATTTGTCACTGTGGCTTGGAGATTGTTAGTTAATAGATTGGTCGGGTCCTAGGATTGCTGTATTTTGAAGGTATTTGCCTGGATTTATGCATATGCAGATCTCTGTTTTTTAGAGCACGCTTTCTTTTTTTTCTATGTTAACACAATAACCCAGGGTCAAGAGAACGAAGGTTATCAATAGCTATAATTCGGGAAGGTGCTCATATCGTAACGCTCCAAGTCTCCACCGAGCCTTCTCCAAAAATGCACCGAATATTCAACGGGTTTCACGTGTCTCGTAAGCACCTCCTACCACCTTTTTTTGGCTCTCTGCCTGTACTAGACCTCACATCGACAAATTCTGTGTTGATCCGGACCGCCGCCGGCCCGAAAAGTCGGGATCTCCTCCTTTCGAGCACATTCCTCGTTAAATTTTTACCGTTTGAGTACCGGCTAGCACCTAATGGCGATGCGAAACTTTAAGCCATGCATCAAAAGTTATTTCTTTTTTAATTAAAGACCCTTCATTTTTTAGCTGTGTCTTCTGCCGAGGTGGTTCGTTCCGCAAGCGCTTTGCGCAGTTCTAAGTCATCGTTTTCTCTCCCAAATCAAACGTCCAAACATGATGTCTGCTTACACAATTGTCATTCAAATTTGAATTTGTACTCCATAAATAAAAAATATATGTTGCTTCCGAACATTATGTCAAGGTTGAATAGAACAATAAACTAGTATTTATATTGCCCGAATAATCCAAATGTCTCGTGTTCAACGCATTTATTACGAATAAAACTGTACAGAAATGGTGATGATGCGGTTACGAGGCAAATTTACATGACCCGTAGTAAATGAATTGCGAGTATTTACAAGTATTTACAACATATTTTGGCGTACTGAGGAAGATAGAAATACTATTTACAACTGGATAAAATACGATTTTAACTCAAAAATAACCAATGGTTAGAACTTCTCTATCCTACCATCTAATGTGTTGTCTTCAAACAACAATTTGTACACATCAACGTCCATCTGAAGCATGACCATTCCCTCAGCCAAGAGTTGGATTTTCAGCCCATCCATACCGTAGTTTTCCAGCTTGCTTTGCAGATTCTTCAATTCCAACCCATTCCTCAGGTACTTGTTGGCCAACCGCTCCAACGCCCCCTTCACAGCGTTCTTGAAGCCGCGGAGTTGAGAGGGAGAGAGCTCGAAGAAGTCGACGTCTTCGAGGACCTCCAGTTCCGGGATTACGAGACGGACTGCAATTGGGGATTTGGCTATAGCTTATAAAGCGACATGTGCGCAGGAAAAACCTCCAGATGCTCAATAGTGTGTATCAGTCCGTCGGGAAAATAATGTGCATTTGTCACTGCAAAATTTCTCGCAAATATGTTGCCTCGACTAGCCGTCGATGGTGGATAATTCCAAGCCGCGAAAAATCCCCATTATTTTCCCGACAGACTGATATATCTTTTTTTGTGAGTATTCAGCGGTTTAAAAGTGTCCAAAGTGTCTCAAAAGGGCGGGCGCACACTTGCGGGCAACCACTTTGCGGGCAACCAGTTTGCGGGCAAATCTTTTGCGGGCAGCCACTTTGCGGGCAGCCGACATTTGCGGCCAGCACCGGCATTTGCGGGCAGCCTGGGACATTTGCGGGCAGGGTCGACAGTTGCGGGCAGCCTGGAAGATTTGCGGGCAGCCGACATTTGCGGGCAACCGACACCTGATTGTGAGGGTAACAGGATGGACGTGGAAAAATTACTATGATATTTTGGAAATTTGCCGACATTTGCGGGCAGCCGACATTTGCGGGCAACCGGCACTTAATGATAACAAGGTGGAGGTGGAAAAATTACTTCGATATTTTGGTAATTTTCCGACATTTGCGGGCAGGCAATACTTGCGGGAAGCCGACATTTGCGGGCAACAGTTCCAAAAGTACCAATACAGTCTGTGTGATTGTTTTTCCTGTTGCCCGCAAATGTCGGCTGCCCGCAAGTGTCGGCTGCCCGCAAATGTCGGCAAATTTCCAAAATATCGCAGTAATATTTCCACCTCCACCCAGTTACCATCAGGTGCCGGTTGCCCGCAAATGTCGGCTGCCCGCAAGTGTCGGTTGCCCGCAAGTGTCCCAGGCTGCCCGCAAGTGTCTCAGCTGCCCGCAAATGTTTCAGCTGCCCGCAAATGTGACCCCCCAAATTTTGCCCGCATAGTGGTTGCCCGCAAAAAATTTGCCCGCAAACTGGTTGCCCGCAAACTGGTTGCCCGCAAGTGTCGCGACGCCCTCAAAAGGTACTCAATATTCATTAGTCTGTCGGGAAAATAATGAAAATTTTACTGCGCCGACCCCATCGCTGAAGTGAAAAGCAATTTGATTTTGTCGCGAAACAATTCATTTTCTCATCGTAGATGCAATGCGACGGAGTGCCCATTATTTTCCCGACAGACTGACGAATATAGAGTATCTTTTGAGACATTCCCGACACTTCTAAACCGCTGAAGTCTCACAGAAATGCCCTTAGAAACAGTCACTTACCTATCAACTTGTCCTCCACTTGTTTGATCTGAATTTTTGTCACCGCCGAGAACGGGATCTTCCCAATTGGCTGTTGGCCAAGCTCGGCAATGAAGAAGTTGGCCAAGCCGATAAAATGTATCTTCATGTTGTCTAAAGAGAACAGTAATAGTACGAGAACTACGAATTAGTTTTACCTTCGCTAATCGTGACTTTCGGCGGCCGCACCGACTCTATGAGGATGTTCATCTGTTTCTGCGGATATTTCTCTCCGATTTCCGGCAACGAGTCGGATAGGCAAACTTCGTCCAACGAGCAGGTCGTTTTCAACATCTGTCCAAAGACCGGGGTGCGTGGGCTGACGTGGAATCGGAGAATTTTTGCTCTGAAAAGTTGGATGTCTCAAAGTCAAAATTTGCTAGCGCGTTGTGTGAGAATTTTTCACAAAACGCACCGTTATCAGTCTGTAGGGAAAATAATGTGGACCCGTTGGCAACGGCAAGTTGCGGCTGGAAATTTGCAACGAGAAAAAACCACATTATTTTCCCGACAGACTGATGGAAACGAGAGAAAATTTGAGGGATTTTTCTTGGCAACTAAAAATTATGTATATATTTTTTTGCATTTCAAATACCTTTTCCGCCGTTTTTCACACTTTAAATATCAAGCTCCTCCAAAACGTTCTTCGCTTACCGATGAGCCTGATTGAAGAGTGCGTTCGGCGTGAACTCTCCGACAATCATTTCCACCGCCTTCTTTGGCAAATGCGTTGGGAACTCCAGCAGACTCTCATTCCCCAACGGCTTTGGCTCGTTGTACAAGCCATTGTGCGGGAGGGCGTTTACACGGACCGCTCCACTAATTCCAACGTTAAATGTTTCGGAATCGGCAGCCGAATCGACAAAGTCCATGTTGAGGAAAAGCCGGCCAAAGTTGGTCTGAAAAAACGGGGTTACTGTAATTTTTGGTTCATTATTAATCTGTCTGGAAAATAATGAGCACTTTGTCGCAACGAAAATCGCATCTCTGCCGAGAAAATGAATTTTGTCGCGACAAAATCAAATTGCTTTTCAATTCAGCGACACGACAGAGACATTGTGCTCATTATTTTCTCGACAAACAAAATCTCAGTCTGTCGGGAAAATAATAATTAAAAAAGACTTGATTTCTCGTTTGCTTTCAGAAAATTACCAGGACTTTCTATAGCAAAATTTTCCTGAAAACAACTTACAAAATCAAATCCATCGAGAAGTTCTTGCAAATTGAACTTGGATCCGTCTTTCTCGGATATAGCGGCTTCAACCGGACTAATCTTGTCCGCAATTGCAGCCTTAGTACTGTTAATGTTACCATTCGTACCATTCGCACTCTTTGAAGCGCTATTGTCATCAACTTTTTTGGCGGTTTTTGCGCCCTTCTTTGGCTCCGCTCCAACTCTTCGAGACTGTGTGCCACTCGTGTTTTCGGACCCGTCATTTGTGAGCTCCAGAAATTTCCCCTCCTTATCGGACTCGGTGGCGTAGTCCACGTAGTCCGCGTCCGCTGTCTTGGCGACCTTCTCCTGAAGAATGGCTTTGGAGATTTTCTTGCGAATCCTCCGCCGCTCCTCGTCTCGTGAGGTGGGAACTCCAACATCAACGACTAAAAGGTAAAGAGAGTTGAAGAGAAGAGTGTATATCAGTCTGTCGGGAAAATAATGAGCACTCAATCGTATCGAAGAATCGCATCGTCTCCGAGAAAAAATGCAAGCTGCTTTTCACTTCGGCAACGCGATCGGCGCACTGACATTTTGCTCGTTATTTTCTCGACAGACTGATACTCGGGAGAAGAAGTCATGGGAATTTGTCGCGATTCCCGAGTTCTGTCGCACTCCGATGATTTCTCGCCGCGAAAAAGGGAACTTTGAAACAAAATTGCACTGTGCACACCCACTTTTTCACGCTTTGTGCAATTTTTTCTAGTTATCGCGAATTTTTTTCTAAAAATGATTAGTGCAGAGTCGCGAAAATTCCAATGACTTTTTACCCAGCCTTGCAAGACTTTTGCTTACTTTCCACCACCGCAGCGACTCCCTTTGTCTCTCTCTTGAGTCTTGGCTGATGAAGACCTCTTCGCGGCGCGAGATGTGTCCGGTATCTCGTGAACTGAATGCTGGGGTCTCTTGCGACAATCGGTCGAGGTTGAACTTCGGCTCTGACTATCTGAAAACAGGCTTTTGGTAGGTTATTGATATTTGCTTCATTTTTAAAATCCAAATAAGGGTCTATTGGGCTTTCTGAACTTGGCTTGCGTAGAATCTCGTCATTGCGTTCACTATTTTCCCGACTCTACTTACCGACGAATCAAAGTATTGCATCAAATCATAGAGGCTCAAATGCTTCGGCATTTCCTTCAGCCTTGTGTTCACTTGATCCTGAATGGCCTTCTCTAAATTCCAGCAAACGGTCGACGAAATTATCTCCCTCGCCTTCTCAATCATCTCCTTTTTGTACTTGATGTTCACCGAGTCGGTTATCAGGCCCATTCCGTTGACCTGGGCGTTCACAATGCCCATGTCCAGCGAGCAGCCGGCCTGATGGAGGTAGGGTGTTCGTTGCAGGTCTTTTTGAATGTCGAAAGTCGCGGTTACGGTGATTTGGCGGGCGTTGACAATGATTTGGCCGAGGACTGGGACGTTCAAGAGGATTTGGATATTTCCGGTAACAGCGCCGAGTATACTGAAAGGAAACTGTCAGCGGTTCTTTTTCTACTCTGCAAATCTACCAACGAATAGGGTACGGTCGCAGTAAAAGTCCTTTGGACAAAAGCGACAGTACTTCCACTCACTCAATGTCGAAGGAGTAGATCTTGAGCAACAGCCGGTTCGGTTCCGCCGGCGATAAGGTCACATCATGCGGCTTTTCGAAGCCAGAAACCCGAAATGAATGCAAATAGAAGCAGCCTTCCGGAAAGCATTGCTGATACGACGCAATTCGCGCGTTCCGTGCTTGGTAGGCAAATACGCTCTCTGTAAATAAATACGAATGGACTTTGGTTACCGAATCGAACGAATAATTGTTAAGCTGCCCCCAAATTTATACTGTTCTGCCCCCCAGTTCCCACATTCTGTCCCCAACGATATGCCAAGCGGTGATGCCATAACGCCGCAGATATCACTGAAGTCCGTTCGGACATTCTCAACCTTTGCCGTTATAACATCGTCAGCTAATGTTGGGACAATGCTCCACCCCTCCGAGCTGTTCCGGTCCTTCAGCGACGTGTCGATTGTACGATGTGTGGGTCACGAGCTGAGGAAGGGAAAGGAATGAGGTTTACTTTGTAGTAGACCAAAATGGCGTGTTTGCACTGGTTTATGCTGTTTTTGACAAGGAGGGCAGAAACAACTGTAAAAACCATCTTCTCGGCGGAGCTTGTAGACTCCTTCCTTTAGGGTTTGATAGGACTCCAGGTCGTCAAATTCACCCTTCCACAGTTTCAAGTGCATGTGGAGAATGTCTTGCTTGCTGATAGTCTCTAGTTTGTCACTCGCCATGATGACTACGTTGCCGTTGGAGTACGAACATGGCGGTCGATTCGCACGCATATTATATTTAATATGCTTTTTTCAAGTCTTCACTGGCTACGGGTGGAATCTTAGGAGGGGGATTATCAGCCAACTCGAAGCTTTTGGAGGATAGGTACGCATTGAGACGTTGAACCATATCTATCAGAGATAGCCGTTGCCGTATCGTAACGTTCTGCTTGAAGTGGCCATTGAAACTTTCAATTGCGTTGTTAGTACTCCCAAACATGGAACATCCTTCAAATCATCTCCATCTAAATACCGAACAGCGGCGGTGTGATTTTCGATGCAATAGAGAGCTCATTATTTTCCCGACAGGCTGACATTATTATCATGTGTGTCATCACAAAAAAATTATGATAAAAAATACCGTACACAGAACTTTTCCCCCAAATATTAAAATGCGTAACGACTTACTCATGACGTTTGCGACATCTTTAAACACCGGTTCATTGAACCGGACTCGGATCCCAACCGGCTCCAGGAACTGAGCTTGCGTTGACGATAGTGTTTGGTTGTGATGATAGACCTCTTTTAGGGATATCGTTCGATTCGTTCCTGGCTTCGTTGTCGTAGCGAGAACATGAACCGGCGTTCGTGTTGTCGCGGAGCGGAGCACTTGAAAAGTTGTGGAGAAGGCAAGCTGAAAATGTAAGCCATTGTTTTTGTTGTAAAATACGTTTTTTCATATTTTTTTTTGGTTTTTTTTGAGTGATTGAGACTGCAGTTTAGAAAAATTGTTAAATATTCCGGCTGGTGTTGCAAATTGCAAATCAACGGTTTTAGAAATACATTTAAGCAGCCAATTATAAAATTTTTTTTTTGAAATTACAGAGTCAAAAATAGAAAAGCTTGGTTTGTCAAATATGATGACATTAGCAGTTAGTCGGGAAAATAATGAGCACTCTGCCGCATCGAAAATCGCAACGCCGCCGAGAAAACGAATTGTTTCGCGATCAACGCAGCGGCAGAGCGCACTATTGTCCGCCTGTAAAATAACGTGGATTTTCCTCGCCTTGGAGTCGTCCACCATCGCCGCGGCAAATCCACAATATTTTTCCGTTGGACTGATTGGCTGACAATAGATAGAATAATAATCTGCTCAACCTAAGATTGTGCAAATTTTAGCCTATTTTTAACATCAGTCTGTCGCAAAAATGAACACTCTGTCGCATCGACAATCGCATCGCCGCCAAAAAACCAAAAATTGTGTCGCGGCCAAACCAAATTATTGTTCACCCAGCGACGCAATCGAGGCAGGGACATTGGGCTCATTAATTTACCGACAGACTGATAATTGATCAAATTGAGGGTGATTTTTGTTTCTAAAGCGATAGATGGCATTAATTTTCGATTCCAGCCCTTTCTTGACAAAAGCGAAAGCACTGGGTTGGCGCTCTCTTCAACCCCTCTTCAACCCCATTCCAAGCCTCACTTACCAAAAGCAGAAGCGACCGCATGGCATTCGTCGAAGAGCCGAGGACTGTCGTGTCGTTCGTGCGCGTACGATGATGTGCGGGGGAAGATGTTTGTTTCGCGCAGAACCTGTTCAAAGGTTTCCTTTTACAGCCCCAGAAAGAAACGAATCGAGTTAATAGCCCAGCCGGACGGTCCGAGCCGAAGGCGCAACCGCCGTGGAGCACGATTACGCGCGCGTTCGCTGATCATCATTACCCAACCCCGCACCTGGAAGAAGAAGGAAAAAAAAGGCGTGGAGTGGGAGCGGAAGGATGAGGCGAAAGCGAGGATTGGGGAGCTCGGTTCAAAAGGCGGATATGCGGGGGAAGATTGTGGGGCGAAGACAACGTAGGGATGGGGAGGAATGCGGTTCAACGCAATGACCGAGGAGTTGACAGCAAACGTTTGGGGTAAAGCAGCGGTCACTCGACTACTAATAAAGGGCTTTGCAGCTAAAATTACTCTTGCTTTTACTCGATCAAGCTCTTTTAGCCTAAGCCAGGGGTAAAATATGAACAGCAAATTCTTTCTTTAAAACTGAACATGAAGATTGATGAAAATACATAGAAAAGTAGTCGAGAAAAATTGAGCCTAAATCAAAATATACCACCATTTCCGTAAAGTCACTGCTCTGATTTTTGGCGTTTACAATGTGCAAAAAAGTCAGGGTGGAAGCGACAGCCCGAAAAGGTCCATCGCACAATGCAAAAGGCAAAAAAAAGTTTTCGCACAGTGCACGTCCCATTCAAAGCTAAGGAACATGCATTTTCAAAAAGTGCATAGACATTTGTCACCCGTCGCTTAATTCAAGATGCACTGTGCAAAAGCGAAAAGACGTCCAGGCACTTTGTGAAAATGCTAATAAAAACTTTCCATTTTTCGCACGCGATAAATAATTTTTTTAGAGTGCGACAGAAAGGACACAAAAGCCACGCGATGCAAAATTATCAGAACTTTTTGTTCCTTCACTAAACGGAAGTTCATTCCCAAGCCGCCACAACCCTAACACCGCCGATCACGCGCCAAGATGTCTGGTTTCCCACCCATGAACCCATAAATAACCCCGCGTTTGTTTCGTTTCCCAGAGCACCAACGGATCGATCGACGGATTGTTCAAGTGAATAAACATCACAAATTGAACCCCGACACCCCGAAAAAAAGGCTGGGATAATAAAAACGGCGGCGAGAAAGGTTAACAGATAGCGGCGCTTCCGATGGGAAATCCCTGCCGAAAAAACTTTTCCGGAGGGCAAAAACCGCATGACTCGCACCGACCGAGATAAGGATCGACGCGGAGACTTGAAGGGGTTCAATGGCGCGAGACATTCCTTTTCCGGCTAGAATAACAAACGGATTATTCAACACAAAAGGTCAAAGGAGGATCGGAGTTCGGGCTGAAGGGCTTTGGGAGTTCGGAGGCGCAGAAGCGTTGTGGAAAAGTGCATCGTATGCATTGATCAGCGACAGTGAAGTCAAACCCATCGCAAGGTTGGAAAATTTAAATTTTAGACCTTTTCGGTACTTACTAGTCCTTCCGGAAAGTCGCCGGGCTAAAATCGGCAATATGCACTGTAAAAAACGAAAGCTTTTTTCGCTCTGTGCAATTCCATGCTTTTGCACAGTGCAAAACGCTTTTTTGGGCTGTAGCTTGCGCGATGACTTTGCAAAACGAAAAAAAACCGGTCGGACGTCTTTCCGGAAGGGCTAGTAAGGCAATAGGTGCAGGGAGGGGGGGGGGACCGATCCAGTGGCCAAAGACGTTCCATTTTGCATCCGGGAAGTATCAAAAATGTGGCAAAATGAAAGGGCGCCCTTCATAACGAAGCTTTTTCACTTGGAGAGGGAAGCATTTTGCCACAGTTTTGATGCTTCCCGGATGAAAAATGGTATGTTTTTGCCATTGTATCTGGTCCGTCACTGTAAAAAAAAATTCTGTTGGCAAAAATACTACAAAACAAAGTTATTTTTGGAAAGCCATCTCATTATTTCCATCATAGTCTTTTCAACCGGTCGCTTTCAAAGAAATGACCGTTCATCTCGACTCATTGCCGGAACATTGCGTTCTACACGACAAAGACTCTCCGGACGTTTGGATGTTATTTTTCCCTTCTGCTTTGAATTTCGTCAACTTCCTTCTGCTCTGCTACCTGTTCTTGATGTACTACTCGCTTGCACAGCTGAGCAAGAAGTTCGGCAAAGAGTAAGTTAGGGAAAGATTAATTTTTTATTTTTTTGCCGTTGAAGTTTTTTGAATTTGCTCTCTTTTTAGAGCCGAGAGATTCATCGAAATAGCGGCAGAACGAGGGATTGGACCGGACGCGAGAAAGGCCGTTCGAGATTGGGCCAAATCACAAGGGGCGGAATACCAGAAGCTGACACAACATCTGGATGATGTATGAAGACAATGTTAAGGTTAAAGCTACCGAAGATGATCTCAGAATAAACAATAATACATAATACAATATTTTTGGAAAACTTTATTTTTTGCCGAACTTTTTTTTGCAAATCTTGCCTTAAAAATTTCATGGCAGTTTATTTCTACCGTAGGTGGGTAATTTTTCTTCAAAAAATCAATTTTTTTCGCACGAAACTAGCGAAGTTGTGACCAAAAAGGGTTTTTCTCTCTGACCGCTCTCCACGTTAGTGTATTCTCTCGGCAGCAAAAATCATTCAATATCTCGACGGCGCCTGCAAATCGCGAGCTAAAACTTTAAGGAATTGATTTTTAACCTATTTACAGATATTGGCATAAAAAATTTCATGGAAATTTCAACCGTTTATGGGTAGGTGGGTAATGTTTCTACAAAAAATAAATTTTTTCCGCTCGAAACAGGCATATTTGTAGTCAAAATTTTTTTTCTCTTGCCACGCTCCGCGTTTTATGTGCTCTCCCCGCTGGAATGCTAAATTCATTTCAGGTTTTATTTTTACCATGGTTTCCCAAAAATCATTTTTTTCCGCGTAAATCCCTCAAAGAAGTGGCCAAAAAGCCTGTTCCTTCTCTGACCGCTCTCTGCATTTTGCCTACTCTCTCGCCAAAAAAGATCGGTGAATATCTCCGTTGCGTCTGTAAAGCTCGAGCTAAAATTTTCAGCTATTGATACGTTGCCTTTACCCGAGCTTTGCGCAAAAATTAAACAAAATCTGAGCGTCGCACTTGACGCACTTCCCCTGTGCAAATCCGCCATGAAAAAAGTGACAGCTACGAAAAAACGTTCACTCCATTCGCTGGAGCGCCTCATCACAACTTTTTTACATTTTCTGTATTCGATTTCCGAAGTCATCGCAATTCGGGATCCTCTCATTTCGATTTAGTTTCAGTTCATTGGATCGGAATTGCAAACCTTCCAATCCAGCGGTCATTTCCGCTGTTTCGAGTTGCAGCAATTTTTAGCGCACGAACAAGAGCGGGTGTAAAAAAAAAGTTTGCGTCGAAATACCATGGTAATCAATGTTTCGACGGTTGGTGGGTCCCAAGAGGGCATCTGGGCGAAGACTTTGGCGGAGAGAGAACCTGTGTAGAGAAGGGCACCTAGGTAAAGAAAGCGGCTGGGTGAAGATGTCACCTTAACCAGAAGAGCATCGTGGTGACATGGACATCTTAGCGGACCGGGCACTCGGGTAAAGAAGGCACCTTGGAGAAGATGTCACCTTGGCAAAGAGGGCATCTTGGAGGAACGGGCATCTTGGTGAAGAGGGAACCTGGATGATGCACGGGAGTGAAATAAGGGGGATGGGATGTTTTCCGTTAAAAGGTGGCAAGGTAAGGTGACCAGAAACGGATTTTTTTACAAAATTATTCAGTCTGGAAAAACATCCGCGGGCCAGAAATAAAGAAAATGTTGCCCCAAAATCAAAATCTCCCCTTGCCTATTTGGAAGTCCAAAAAAAGTCATTCTTCTAAAATTCAAGTTGGTATCCCTTACCATACAGTTTTTTCCTCATGCGCCCTCTTCGCCAAGCTCCCACTTCGTCTATATGGTAACGTCTACAACGTGTCCCATTCGTCAAGCTCCGTATTTGTTGTGCGCCCTCTTCGCCACGCTGCCCGCTTTGATCACATGCCCTCTTTGACTGGTTGTCTTCTTCGCTAAAGTTCTCCCTTGGCAAGGTCTCCTTTACAAAAAGTTAGGTGCCCTTTTCGCCCAGGTACCCTCTTTGCTAAGATGCGCTGAGATGCTTCCTTTTTCCGCCTGGATGCCCTCTTCGCCAAGGCACTTTCTTTGTCCAGGTGCGCCCTCAAGGAAGATAGTTGCCGCCCTCATTGGCCCAGGTATCCTTATCGTCAACTTCCCTCTTCGGACCAAATCTTTGCAAACCGTTTCCATTAAAAAATCCTCGAAAAGTTATGAAACTGTAATGTTGAAACAAAAATAGTTTACAACAACAAAGAATGGGAGAAGAAATGCATCATTGGCGTGTTGATCAGCAAGTTTGGGGATGTCAAAACAACCAAGTTCTGGGATGAGTGTAATGAATGTATAAAGGAAGCAAACATTTGTTTTCTCATCTTTTATCGCGCCATATACGCTTCCCGGTGAGCGATCTTTGGAAGTTTGCAGTTTTTGTTTTTGTATGAGAAGATGCAAAATTTATAGCTTGCGTTTTACAAATTGTGAGAAGTGAGGGCACTCGCGGGTTTGGTATGTTGGCCTGTGGGCTAGGGATTAATTTTGCTTCTACTGAAGAGGTGGTTATATTCCAGAGATACAAAAAAGGCTGCAGTTGTTTATAATGTTGCCGTAACTGGTTTTTTCTGACCGACCCTCCTCATTTTCCATAACCTCTCGCTTGCAAAGGACAACGGCAGTTGATTTTTCACAAGAAAAGTACTTATATGGGGTATGGACTTACAGGTGGAGACTTATACTCCCCGTACAATGTTTTGACCCCCCTCCTAACTCGGTCCAAGGTGTACTAATTCGGACCAAATTTGGTATGTAGTATACTCACAGGCTAGTAACAAAAAATAACATAGCTGGACCTACCTTATAGTTGAATATCAAAAGCTAGGGGCAATTTTCAAAAATCACCTTAAAAAATCGAGGAAAAAGTTTTGACCCCTCTTAAAAAAACGTTAGATATCGCCAGCGGATGCCACGCAAACTTGTTGTAATCGACGTCCCATACCTGAACACAGGTTAATATATGGTTTTCCGTTGAATGCTTCGTTGCATTTGAGGATTCAACGCGTTAAACCGTTCTTGATGTAGAGGTGCCCAAAATGGTAAAAATCTTGCCCTAGCGCTTTCCTGGAGCTCTAAATTGGGTTTATATTATGTGATTTAGACCTGTTTTAACCTTCTCCTTTCGATAAAAGTGCGTGGTGGCCTGACGGTGTAGATTCGGCAGATACCCTCTTGTCATGCCCAGCCTTGGTGAGCCATTTGCTCTTTGACTCAAGGTTGAGATGTGGTTATTAGGTCCTCAATGTAATCCTGAGACTCCTAGTTACTCTCAAACAAAGAATAAACTCCGGCTGACCGGTCTCATATGGTTTGCAGGCGCAACTTCGCCGATCTGCACCTTAACGAAAAACCCGCGTTTTTCAAATGGATTTTTAGCCACCAAAGACGGCTTTCATTTGATGGACCAGGTAATTTAAGACGCTACAGCACTTACCATACTCATTTGAGACGTATGAAACGCCAAATGGGAGGTGGGGATGTAATAGTACTCGGGGTCATCTACAGTAACGGCATACTTAAGATTAAGGTGACTGAAACCCATTACAAAACGTGTCAAATCAAAACATTTTACATTACTGAGAGTAACTAGGAGTCTCAGGATTACATTGAGGACCTAACGACCACATCTCGACCTTGAGTCAAAGAGCAAATGGCTCACCAAGGCTGGGCATGACAAGAGGGTATCTGCCGAATCTACACCGCCAGGCCACCATGCACTTTTATTGAAAGGAGAAGGTAAATACAGGTCTAAAGCACATAATATAAACCCAATTTAGAGCTCTAGGAAAGCGCTAGGGCAAGATTTTTACAATTTTGGGCAGCTCTACATCAAAAACGGTTTAACGCGTTGAATCCTCAAATGCAACGGAGCATTCAACGGAAAACCATATATTAGCCTGTATTCAGGTATGGGACGTCGACTACAACAAGTTTGCGTGGCATCCGCTGGCGATATCTAACGTTTTTTTAAGGGGGTCAAAACTTTTTCCTCGATTTTTTAAGGTGATTTTTGAAAATTGCCCCTAGCTTTTGAAATTCAACTATAAGGTATGTCCTGCTATGTTATTTTTTGTTACTAGCCTGTGAGTATACTACATACCAAATTTGGTCCGAATTAGTACACCTTGGACCGAGTTAGGAGGGGGGTCAAAACATTGTACGGGGAGTATATATCAAAAAGTTCGCCAAATTTTTCTCATTCAGAATATCCAAAAGATAGCAGCCTAATTTTGGTTTGTAAAGGCGAAAAAGCCCTCAGAATTACGTAAATGCCTTTTTGACCAAGTTTTTGCCAAGTCAAACGCTTTGTTTTGAGCTAGAGCAAACCCTGGCATCTTGACAAACCTTAAAATATCCAGTTTGATTAATACTACATCATAATTAGTAGTTCCAATATAAAAAAGAGGCATTTGCGTGGTGTTGCGGGAAAAGTTTGAGGTTTTTTCACCGTTAGAAACCAAAATTAGGCAGCTAATTTTTATATTCTCTGAATCAGAAAAACTGCGAGTTTTTAATGTATGTCTCGCCTGTTACTCCATACCACATAGAAGTACGTTCCTTGTCAAAAAAATCACTGCGACGTAAGTTTTTTTTTCATTGCGCCGCTGCGAAATTTGAGACTATATTGTCGCGGTAGAAATAAATCGCTTTTCGCTTCAGCGACACGATTTGCGACATTGCGTTCATTATTCTCCCGACGGACTGATAACGGTTCTTTTATGAGCAGTTTTTTGGCCTGCGTAAAGCATGGATAGTGGAAATCAAAGATCCAAGCCTAACTTTTTGTAGTACTATAATCATGTGTGGTCGTGGGGTGTAGAAACTTTTCCTCTGTTCTCCAGAGGAAAGGTTTTGTCACCCGATTGCGCTACAATCCAAGTACAATATCTTCGACACCTCAAAATTCAGTTTTGTCGAAATCACCGGCCATTCCTCGCACACCCGTTCACATGACTTGGCACTTCCTGGTCCGCCGAATTTAGCCGCGCTTTTCGTATGGTAGTTGTTTTGGCAACATGCCTCGGGACCCCCGCCGGTCACAAGGTTTTTTTACGAAACGCCAGTGCAAATTGAACCGGCAAAAAGCCGGTCAGTTCATAAAAAACCGGGTTCAGTTGGCCCTTTGACAAAGAGGAATTTCACGAAACAAAATGTTTGTCGCTCGCAAAAAACGGCTCGACAGGCGGCCGAAGAAATGTTTCGAATTTTTT